ATGGTCGGTGGGTCTCCTGTCTCCCTTGGCCGCCCGTTTTCGGATTTTCGGAGCCATGGCGCGTGCCTGCGGTTGGAGGGCAGAGCCCGGGGAGGAGCGAACCGGTGGACTCCACCGACGTTTAATCCATCTGCTGCACGGAGTGGTACTCCAGTCAGTTGGCTTCCTTCCATGTGTGGTCCGTTAGAAGGTTGTTTGTTATCCGCCTGTTCAAACATGACCCTTTGGCTGTGGGTCAAAAACAGGTATAACTGGAAGCCTGGTAAATGGAGAGGACTAACACCTGCGGTTTTTCTGGTGGTTTAAGTTTGACCCATGCCCATTTACAGCAAGCCCCGAACTGTGAGAGGATCAGACGGCCACTGGACTCCCTCAGTTCCATGGGAAACAACTCCGAGGGGACGTGTTCGTTGCTCTTGCTTGAAATGGGTTTGCAGTAGATGCACTTTGCTAAGATTTATCTGTGATAGCATGGTGATGTATCACTTATGTGTGTGTGTGTGTGTTTTATACCCTTCCCCAGTTTCAGAAGCAATGTTTGATGGATAGGAAGTTGTCATACCCTTTTGCCTCGGTATGGACACCTTTTGCATGGGACCTTGTTGTGTGTGTGTGTGTCGTTTTTTGGGGGACCCCAAGAATTATGGTTTTCCTTTGGATTTCCCTTTAACACCAACCAAAATAGGGTTCCCCCATAAGAAGACCACTACGCATATATGAAGAACGGTCAAAAATACTGCTGTTGAGTTCAGTATTCGGTGTTTCATTGATACTCTGAACATGCACAAACCCATGGCAAACGATAGGGACTCTCAAAATAACGATACCCCTGGAGAAGGCTGGAAACGCTGGAAAACGATAGGGGACTCTCAAACTAAGTAGCGAAACGGCCGCAAGTATGTAATTCTGACCGTGCCTCATATACATATACATACATTTCGCTTCCAGTTCGTTGCCTGCTTTCCTTTTTCCGAGAGTGGACTGACACTGGAGCCTCTCATCCCGCCTTACCCCAAATAGGTTTGGATAATTTAGAGATAAACCATTTCAATCCAAGCCACCAACCAGGATTGAAGAATTATATATATATATATATATGTATATATGTACATAACTATATAGAGACCTTGCCCTAGTTTATCCTCTTGTCCAGGTGGCAAATTTGGGGGCACCCAGCTTTTCCACACCCGAATTGTTTTCCGGCTTTGACACATCGACCTCTCGGTTTCAGAAGAAAAAAATGCAAACGATCCGCAGCGTGACCACTGAAGTGAGACTGGGCGATCCATTTAACGGCAATTCTTGTGTTGCGAACGGGGTCCGTTTTGATGATTTTCCGCAAAGCCTCCCCCCTCAAACAAATGTGGGTGGGCGGGGGGGGGCAAGAGTTGAGCCTCTCAGTCGGAGTTGAGCCTGCTCAAGGAGTCTCTCAGTACTGCTTAACACTGGTTTAGATTGCCGCAGTATTCCTTTGAGCTGGCCGAGGACTGTTTTGAATCGGTTTTGTGTTGGTTCAGTATTCCTTTGCACTGGCTGAGTAGTCTTTAGAATTGGTTTAGTGTTTGTTGAGTGTTCCTCGGTACTGGCCCAGAGATTTGTTTTTCCTCGATTTCCTCCCTTCAAGCATTTATAATTATTAACTTTTCGGGCTTCCCTGTACCGTCTGATTAAAAATATGTCTGGGCGGCTGTTTTAGTAAAGAGTGTCATAAGAGTTTGGTTGTTTCGGGCAAGGGTTAGCCTTGGCTTAGAATTGGTGTAGTATTGCTTCAACAGAGGGGTGTCCTTTTTTGGACGGTTCGGGGAAAGAAAGGAAGCTAGTCACCTGCTTAGGCGAAACCAGAAGAAAGCTCGCTTGACACCTCTTTTAGGCGAAGAGCCAGCTGCCAAAGTTGGGAGAGGCCCCTTTGGTCCCATGTACCAAGCTACCATTTTGGTACATGGGTGTGGGTCAAAAATAGGGTAACCCCAAAATGGGGTTCCCTGGTAAATGGAACCAAGGACTAAAACCTGCGGTCCAATTCCTAGTACTTTAATTTTGACCCATACCTACATGGTTTCAGTCTTTGGTCCCATGTACCAAGCTACCATTTTGGTTAAACGCGGGTGTGGGTCAAGAATAGGGTAACCCCAAAACGGGTTTAACCAAACATAGGGTAACCTCAAAAATAGGTAACATAGGGTAACCTCAAAAATAGGTAACCCCAAAAACAGGGTAACCCCCTACATCGATTTGACCGTTTGGCAGAAATGGAAAGAAAGTCCACCCCCCGGGAGGACTTGGAGGACTTCCTGCCGTTGCGTCCCTGCAACTCCGAGCCCCAGCTGCGCCGGATCCCGCCGGGCGCCCGGCCGGCCCCGTTGGGGAGATTCGGGTGGTACAATGGATGAACGGTGTGGTTCTTCATAAAACTTTCAGTGTTTCAGATCTCAGGGTTCAAGGTTACTGTTCAACAAGTCCACAGCAGTGTCCATTTCATCAATCAATGTTACAATATTTGTTTTTGTTTTCATGAGATGTTGAAGCATTGTTTGTTGCATGGTTCATGTTAGGGTAGGGTTGTTTCATTTAAGTTCTAGGTATGTGTTAGTAGTTAGCATGTCAATGATGCTGTTGTGAGGTGTTGTTGATGACTTTGGGGGGCAAGTTCATTCATCATGCGATAGGTTTATGGTATGCGGTATGCATGCACTTGTTAAACATGACACCCAAGTGTTCTTGTACATGTCGAATGTTGAAATTGATAAGCTCATCGTTTGATAGTTCGGTCAATTGTTCTTAGACGTGCTATTTGACTTTTAGGGCAACTGGATAATTCTTGTTGTACTATGTCCAAGCTGCATGACCATGATTTCGCAATTTTCTATACAACATGTCAGCTTTTTGATTTTACACATATTGTTTGTTTGATAGTAGTTCAACGAGTTTAAGGTATGATATAAGCTGTAAGCAATACACAGACTTCATACCACATGTCCTTGGGTTCTTACTAATGCCAAGAACTTCCCAAATCCTGTTTAGCAAGCTGTTATGTTGCTAGAAAAACATGTTTAGCCTGGGACATCTTCCTAGTTGTTTTGCAGTGGATATGAATGACACTGCACGGCACACAATCACAACTAACCCAGCAAGCTTCCCTGCTAAGGCCTTGTTTCTAGTAAGACTAATAAGATCTGTTATCAGCCTTTCCTGTTCTAACAAGTGAGAAACAATGTTTAGTGCTAAACCACACTACTTGTATCGGATGTTAGTGCTAAACCATACTATCGGTGAGGTTTTCTTTTTTTCCTGGGGCCGGTGTTTTCTTCGGTTTGGATTCCTGGCTGGTTGCTGGGTTGGTTGGCTGATCGGTCGCTCGGTTGGTTGGCCGGCCGGCCGCATCCCCAGCCTTATTTGGCCCTGGCTCTGACTGCGTGGCAGGTTGCTCGGGGCGGGGCGCAATTTAGGGGGGTTTAGGCTGGCTTGGATCCTTATGAGGGCGGAGCTTGGGTGGTTGGGGGTTGATTTAGGCGCAAAGAGGTGGCGTACAGGCTGCTGTTATATATATATATACATATAGATGTACCAGTCCCTGGGCCACGTACCCCCCCCCGCATCATCCGCATCTTAGGGATGATGCTGGCAATGCTGGAGATGTTGTCCAGTACCGTGTCAGCCCTGCAGCTTCGGTCCCAGACTCCCCCTTTCACCCCGTGAACCAACACCCCCGCACCTCTCGCAACACCCTACCCTAAACCAAACCACCCTGCAACCCCTCCTTAACCCCAACCCTAAGCCTAAATCAACCCAAGCCCCAAACCCACCCGAAACCCGCAAACCAACCCTGAACCAACCCTGAACCAACCCTGAACCAACCTTAACCAACCAAGCCTAAACCAACTCCGAACCACACCCCAACCACCCAACCACCCCACCACCCCACCACCCCACCACCCCACCACCCCACCACCCACCCCCACAAGGAGGGGGGGGTTGGGGGGGGGAGGGGGGGGGGTCCACGGCCTGGAACATATATACACATACATGTATTTATTCAATATATGTATGCATATATGTATATATCAATATACATGTATGTATACATAAACTATCCTCCTCCTGTACTTATCATCACAGGTCCGTGTTTCATGCTGACTTGCGGATTATATCTTGTAGCTTCTTTGACTTGAGCGTGGGAAGAGGTCAGCAGAGTGGAGCTGGCAGGTGGTGCGTTTCCATGATTTTGCCATGGGGTTCTTCCTTTATATGACACAGGTGCATAGAGTGGCTGCGAGCCAAATTGTTTAAGGAGGTTTCTAATTCCGGCTGAAAGTTCATTTATCCTGACGCTTCAGTTTTTTTTGAGAGCAGAGTCGGGTCTTCTGAGCGGATGTGGGGTACCACTCTGAGGTGTACTTTGCCTGTTTTGCCAAGTGAGAACACGTTGTTCCAACACCCCGTTGGAAAAATGAGACTTGGGCGAAAAAACCGGCTGATTTCGATCCCTTGGTGAAGGTTTTCGGATCTCAACCCGTGAGGCCCAGTCTGGCCCTGCCGTGCCGGGGCCTTGAGCTGGAGCCGGGGCAAGCTAAGGGTGCGAAGCTACGGGAGGCGAGCCACCCCAGGTTGACGGAGGGTGCAAAGGCTATGGGAGGCAGCCAGGCAAACCTGGCAAGTGTGCAGAGTTTCGAACGGGTTTCAGCGACGTGTTGCTTCCGGCACGCAACCAACAATGGTTTCCCATCATGTTTTCCAAATGGTGCAGGATTTCAGTCCATCCACAGTATGGTTGTCCTTGGAACAAAGGCTCCCATTGGAAGGATAAGCGACATCCAGGTTGGCTTCGGGCATTTCCACTACAAACCGTGCCCCGACTAACTTAGGCCGCATCGTTCGAACTTGCAGTCAGCGGGCAACATGGTAAGAAATCGAAAGGTCGAAGGCGCACGCACGTGCGTGTCAGGCAACAAGGTTCTCGCATTCGGTCTCGTGCCGTTCAACCCTACTATTCACAGGGGAATCATCATTCCAGGGTTTCTTAGGTGGTGCGATACGGATTTCATCCATCCACATGTTCTTGAGGCGATACGAGCGGCTATGAAGGCTTCTCACGCGAGGCGGGAGAGAAATGAAGAGCGAGACCGCGCGGGGAAGTTTGCCCAGCAGACGCTGGGCTTCCCTTTTGGTCCATTTTGGGCACGCAGGTAACATGCTGGGCAAGCCCTCACATATGAATCCCCGCTGAAGCAGGACCCTCGTGTCAGCTTCGATTGTTTACGCCCTGGATGTTGAGATCTGGAATGGAAATCCCTGGAACCGTGAAAGGAAGTAGTGGCAAACGTGTTGCCAATAGCTGCTACACATAAAGCATTCTTAATTAATGTGTTTGTTAGTCAGGGTAAACGTCAGTTTTATGGGGAGCTCACGTGGTAAAACACCTGCTAAAACAAGCTCACCACGACGTGGGCACTTAACTGGGGGATTGTTTAATTCAGGCTCGGAATTACTCTTTAGCTCCATACAACATGGGATGAACATCAAAAACTACTTATTTACGAGATCAAACACAAATCAGGGGATCAAACACCAATTATTCAGTTTTCTTGGTCTCCTAGTCTTCTGGTCCCCTGCTCTCGTACGTAGTCTCCTGGTCCCTTGGTCTCCTGGTCTCTTGGTCTCCCTGTTTTTTGGTCTGCCGGGCTCGCGGTTTTCGTACCAAATTCGCATCTTCACCAACGCTCTACCAAAAACAATTGGATTTGAATATAGTTCAAACAGGACTCAGTTACGGAAATATGTGTGTTTGAATCCTAGAGGAATTGTTTCATCTCAAACTTAGAAATCCCTTGCCAAGTAGAACTGTACAATCCAATTAGAGTCTTTTAAAAAGAAAAAATGATGAGGAACGGATCCAATCAGAATTTCTGTGTTAAACCAGAGTTCAAATCAGGTTGTTCTATTCCACATTAGATTTTGCACAGGATTTGCTGTCTAGCATAATTAAGTCCAAAAGAATGAACCATTTTCAAATTAGACTTTGCACAATCAAGAAGAGCCCAACTCGAATTTCAATTTTAAGCTGGAATTTGACGTCGGAATTCCTATCCATAAACACACATCCACTGGATCCGCCCTGCCCAAAACACACCAACAACCTTGAGAACACCAAACCACAACACCCCCAAACAACACGCAACTCATTCTCACAGAACTCTTGGCACAGTGAGAAGTGTTTTTTTCGTTTCGCGCTGGGCAGGTCTGATGCAGAGGAAAGACTGTTTGAGGAAAGTCGTTTGTAGTGTTAGCGCTTTTGTTGGTTTTGTTTGGTTTTCCCGAGGTTTGTTTACTTCTACAGAAACCCGCAAATGTAGAAGATCAGCAGAAAGGACTGCAATTAGCACCTATCCCACACAAACAATAGAAACAACAGCAAGTTACACACCAATCTAAAATCACACGAGTGGATCTAAATTCCGATAGAAATGGAGTAGAATTTGAGAAATATTTAAGTATAACGTCATAAGGAAAGAATTCAGAGGTCCCAACACCGATCATTCCTAGATCAGACAGCGCCGCAAAACACAGCGCTGTGTAGCGTTTTTCGTACTAAAATCACATCTTCACCCATGGCCGCTCTCTCAATATCAACTAGATTTGAATAAAGAGATGGGGAAACTCTGTCTCAAATTTAGATTGAACTCCTTGCCCAATATGGCTTTACAATTCAATGAGAGGTCAAAGATGTTTTGATAAGGATCGAGTCCAATCAAATTTCTTAAAGGAAAAACAAAAGCACAACATGGATTTTAAATAAAACTTGTTACATTTCAATTTAGACTTGACACAGGGTTCTTTTCCCATCATGATTCAAAAAGAGTTCAACTCAAATTTCCATTTGTACTTGAATTGCTTTCAATGAAAGCAAATTCACTGGATCAGTCCTGCCCAGAACCACAAACCAGAAGAGCATCGCGGAAACCAAAGAAACACAGTCTTTTTCCAGTGAGTGTGTGCGTGGCTGCCTCTTGACAAGTGTCGGACGGATGCTATGGTTTTCTAGAGGTTGTTTTGGATTGGGCTGTGGGCAGCGCTGTCTGACGCTGTGTATATAGATATATAGCGTTTCGTATTGTTTCTGGTTGGTTTCCTTGTTTTGTTTACATCTTTAGAAACCCGGACATGCACTAGAACAGCAGAAAAGGCTGCAACTTGCTCCCAAACAAACAATACGAAAGACTGCAATTGACACAAGTCTCACTAAAATCACAGATTAATGATTTCCCGCAGACCCTCCCTTCCCAGAGTGCGCTTTTGAGCGCATTCGTGCTCGCTGGTAGCCTCCCACTTTCCGTTTTTCCAAGCTGGTTTGCAGAACGTTGAGGTGTATCAAAGTCTGATGAACCCCGTCAGACCTGGTCATGGCTCAAGCAACAAAGGGATCTGCTCCATGCTGGAAACCGATAGCTTGGAGATCCTTCAAATCTAAGCAGTGTTTTGGGAAATATCAAAGAAACCTTTTACGCCTTTTGGACAATGACACGGGTTTCCCCTCCAACCAACAACATGTTCAGTTGTGGGTTTCTGTGCGTTCCCCTCAGTCATCCAAAAGGCGTCTTGGAAGGCCTGTTGACCCCGGCTCAGCGTCCATAGCGAAGATCTTCCCTGTTTGCTTGGGCTGGGTCTTGCTGCGGGCCAAGCACCTCAAATCGTCGCTTTGACGGGGCCCAGCAGGGCCAAACAAAAAGATCAACTGACTGCTCAAATTGGGTGCGTCTTTTTCAACAGGACAACCCACCCATTTTTGGGGGCTCCCCTCGAAAAAAGCCCACCACATGATCTACCTTTAGCTCGCCAGGACGAGTCGCCCTCCCAGAACTCCCAGGCCGGAACTGCCCGGGGCTGACTCGGGCACGGGCGCGCGGCCAGCCAGGAGCTGGCGATGTTGGAGGAAGGTCCCAGGGTCGTCGCCTCTTTCGGATTGAGAGAATTTCTAGGGGTTGATTCCTTGACCATTCTTTTCAGCCATGGTTCTTTCCAAGAACCGGCTGTTTCCCCTGGGTCCCCCGAGATGAATGCGTGGATGCCCTCAGAATCCCGACGAACTCCAGCCAGCCAGATGCTTCGGAAGGCCCCCATGGTCAACAGACCTGCTGGCCTCGGGGGTAGGGTTCTCAACGCAGTGATTTCTCTTGGACAATTAAACAGTTGGGTTCATGGTACAGATTAGCCACACGCAAATTTGCAGAGTCCGGTTGGGTGCGAGATGGGTCTTGCAGAACGAAAGCCCTCGCCACTTCAGGGCAACTCATAGCAACCCTACAAGCGAGTGACCTCACTCATGATGAAGATTCATGTTTTGGGATTCCTTGTTTCGGGTGTGTATGTTTTCTTTTTGCAGAAATCTAGCACGACCTGTTGAAATTGGCTGCAGGAGCTGCGTAGAGGAGTGCGAGAGCTAAGTCGCTGTGCTCCTGGCGGGTTCAACCAAAGCTATGCGGGGGGCAATCATTCAACAGCGGGAATTGGACTGTGGCCTCATCCTATGTATGTCAATCATGTGTGAGCAGTTTTAAGTTTCAGGCTCATATCAATAGCATGGGTATGGGCATTTAGTTGTATATTTATACCATGTGACTGTATAACATGTGTATGTATGCTCAGTTGTTGAACACCGACCTTTTGACCTTTTGGTTTTCCGGTGGTCATGTGTGGTCCACTTTTGGTAAAGGTCCCAACAGGATAGCCTTCTATTTCTTGGGCCTCTGGGCAGGTGAGTATGTGTTATGTACACACCCAGAAAAGCAGATGTTCAGAAATACACATATAAATATAAATATATATATAATAAAAAAAGCAAAACAAAAAACACATATCAATACATGTGCAGTAATGTGCTAGACACTTATAAGGAAACCTGGCGACCGCGGGAGTTGACCGAGCGGGTCCCGGTGACTCGATTTGCAGGCCTTGCATTCCATGGTGGAGCGCCTCTATGATGAGGCACCGGAAAACGGGGAAACAGCAAGCGAGAAAAGGCGGAACAGCTGACCAACCGTTCACCGACCAAACTCATAAAGACAATTTACAAAGAACAAACAGAATGTGTTTTCATCCAGGCGAGGTGACACGTGAATGCCGGATGACTACCACCAGCACTGTGCAAGAAAGAAGAAAACAAAGCCCACAAAAGAACTGCACAACACATGCAACGCAGCTAAACAAAGCAACTCGACGAGGAACGCCTGAAGAAGGCACTTTCCCACCTAATCCTGGGATCGACAGTAACATATCGGTCTTCGGGTTCTTGAATTGAAGTCACTGGTGGCCACTTTTCATGGAAGTTGGAGGTCAACTGGACCATTGGGCAAGTGTCTTGTTTCAAACCGGGGGAGCAATGCCATTCACCAGTTAAACCAGCGGCATGCTTTGCCCTATGGGAAACATGTATCGTGGTGAAGAAATTGAGGTCGCCACATGGGCGCTTGCACAAGAGGCTGAGGAAGCCCAAACGAACGTCGGCCATGGCGTCCCTGCAGGAGCTACGAAAGCGAGAGGCGCGGTCCGGGAGATACCATGCCTAACTGCCCCAAAAGGTCCCTTTCTCCCCCGCCCCCGACCCCCCCCCTAAAAAAAAGGGGGGGAAGTGGGACTCAGTGCAAGCTTGGGAGCCAATTGGAGAAAAGGCCGGCTTATGGGCCGCCTTATGGGCATGCCTCTGTGGTGTCAGGGTCCCAGTTTGAGTCAGGATTCACCTTCAGGAAAGAGTATGGTCCCTAGATTTCTCTTTTTGGAAGGATCGAGCATTGTAGTTTCATAGCCACAAAACAAAGCCTTGACCGGTGCAATCTCTTGGAAACGCGCGCCCTGCTATAGGGTTCATAGTCATGGTTACATTATTGGGCCCAATTACAAGTATAAAAGTGTCCCTCCCGCTCCAGTTGGGTGAAAGATGGCTGAATTCCTTCACGTGTTCAACTTGTTCGTGTTTGAGTCATCCACTTTGCCTACAGAACGGGAATGGTCATCTGGGTATGGGTCAAAATTCAACCACCAGAGGACGAAGTCCTCTTTTCGACCCACAGCCATCTACTTTTCGGTTGTTTTGGTCGAAAAATCGGTGGCGATTCCTGGTTTACCTGGTGGTTTCATCTACCAGGTTCATTTGTTTCCCCTGAAAGGACACCTGAGCCACAATCAAAACCCGGGTAGATCACGGTTAGTAAGGGACAATCCCAAGCATAAATAGCCTTCGCCGCCTTCTTAATTCTTGAAGCATAGTTCTGGGTTGACCATTTTAGTACCGGGTTTTGATTATGACTCACTTGCTAGTTGTACTAGTGATGCATGATGTTGACCCCGGATTAAACCCCGGTTTATCAAGATGGGGATGTTCCACTCCAAAAGTGATGACACCTGTGCTTGTTCCTTTTGCCTCCTTTGGGCCTGTCAGCTGTCGAGTCGAGAGGAGCGCCATGCAGCGCGGATCCAGGAGCGGGAGCAGGAGCCGGATGGAGGGGGGTTCATTTGTGTCAAACGGGACCCCGAAATGGTCCTGTTGGTTTCTCGTTCAAGAAGTCTGAGACGGGTCATACACGTCTTTAAGCAGCAATCCACTCACCTCACCTCCCCTCCCCTCCCCTACCTCCCCTCCTCTCCCCTTCACTCGTTGACCCCCAGAGGGTCAGGCTGCCGAAGAACAGCAATCGTGATCACCTGCACAAGTGGGGTTGTGTGTGTGTGCTTGCTTTTTTGACGGCTTCCTTTGTTCAGACTGGCAAAAAGGGAAACCAACAGGAACCAGCACTTTGGGGGGATCCCCTATTTTGACACATACCAAGGACCCCTGGCAAGAAATTTGGAAACCACAGAGGTCGTTGGCAACAGTCCATTCATGGTGAACCAGAATTTGCATTTCGCCCAGGAGAATGCTGGAAGTTATTTTCTCGAGGCCCCAGCTGCTTTGAGTGGATGGCGGGTGAATTAAAGACTCAGTGCCACCCCAGCAAGGGAATGCTGAATGTGACTTGATCCGCTATCAAAAACAAACCCAGGACCGTGTGTGGACTGTGAAAAAGACCTGACTTCGTCAGCTATGCACTTTTCTGTCACAGAAATTGTTATTCATGTTTCGATGCCCCGCGCTAGGAGCTAGCGAGCCAGGCGCCTTTTGTCGGCGGCCCAGGTGGAATGGTTGCATTCTGGGCGTGTTCCAGGCCATGGACATTGCTTCAGTTCAAGTCTAAAGCTCCATGAGACCTGGCCAGATGGCGAGATTCGGGGAATCAGGACAACTCATTGGGCGACTTACCCTCCCACCAGTTGACATGGAACCTGACAGCGGGTCCCTTGAAAAGAAAATTATCTTCCAGGAGTTCCATGTTAATTGGCATACTTTTCATCACGATGACAGGGTCGACGGTCGAGTACAACAAGTATTGGCTTTCCCGAGTGGAGTCACCCACGAGGTTGTTCCCCATCACTTTATGATTGAAGTGATGAACCATTCACTTTATGGAAGGTCCAAATCCCAATCACTTGGCACCTGGGAAAGAGTTTCTGGGATGGAATCTCCAAACCAATCATTGGCAATCGTAAAGTGATAAAGTGCATGGCTCACGCCTGTCCAGCTCCTCATCCAAGAGGTAAGCCCTGTGAGGGTCCCTTAGCCTAGGCTCCGGCCCTGCGACGCCGGCGCGGCTCGGGCGCCCTGAAGCGGCGCTGGGGATCGGGCAATGTTTGACGGATGCGTTTGCTCCAAACCGCCCGGGTTTTGGAGTGCGACCAGCTGGAAGATTTCGGATCTCCTCAATCTCCCTCTCTGGAACCTCAGGTGGCGATCGTTTGGGTGATCCAGCCTCATGGTCGTCCGTGGCAAGCTCAACCTCCACTGACATGTCCGATCCATACCTGGGAGCTGTCAGTCAGTTTGCGGATGCTTCTCTAGCATCTGCAACAGGTGAGCTTTCGGGTGATGCGATCTTTGGCCGCCATGGGCGATGCTACGAGCGCCAGAAGTACGCGAAGGCCCGCATCAACGACTTCAGCAAGTCCGCTCTGGGTGGACTTCGACAAGCTCAAAGAGATCGATCGCATTTCGAGGCAGGCCCCTCCTTGACGGTTACAGAGGCGATCGTTTCAAGGGCAGCCGCTCGTAAGTTAGGTTTTATGCGGAAATTCAGAGATCCCTGAGAAGTGTCCATCCAGACATCAGCTCATTTCAGCTTTCCGATTCACGCAGCTGGATGCCCCTTCTCCGAAGTTCACCCGGAAGGCGCACTGGCGAGCAGAGGTTCTTCTGGGGTTTCTTCGGTCTCCATTGAGTTTTGTCTTTGAACTTCCTGTCACAAGGGTAGCTCCAAAAAGCACACTCATGTCCTGAAAAGAAGGGGAAGCGGTCAGTCGGCCCCGGATTTTGGCTGTTTCCATAGATGGAGGTCGAAACTGAAAGCCGTTTCCCTTGAACATCTCCCCGGATTGCTCAGCGGCACCATTTTTGTTTGGGTTCCGCACGAAAGATCAATCCAGAAATGAGCTCGAGGCCTGAGTTCCTGGACTGTGAGCTTTGTGATCAGACGGACAGTTGGACTTCCTTCTTTTTGCCAGTTTCGGCAAGACCATCTACGTGGTCAGACAGACAGCTTGGACATGTTTATTGGCGAGATGAGTGAGTCTACTACAGGATCATTCTAGTTCCCATATATCATTAAGTTTATAAAGTATATGTTTCAGCAATTATCAACAAGCCAAATTTCCCATATATCATGTTGATAAATCTACAATAGGTATCAATAAAGCCACATGTAGCGACATGGGTGTCACTTTCACCCTGGTGGTCTGCGATTTTTTTGAGGCGCGGACCGTGTGGGACGCGACTCGTCCGAGCGGCACCTCCACCTCTACGACCAGCGCCTGGAGATGGCAGGGAAAGCGACGAGGGTCGCGTGGTTTCTTTCGAATGGTCCAGTAGAAGGGCCCTATATTTCTTAGCCAAATAATCAACGTTTCTAGCGTTGTTTTCTTGTTAAAACAAATAAGTTGTCTCTTTTGTTTAAACCTCCGTTAATCCTATTAACAACAGCAGGGTCCTAAGTTGAGTTTGGAATGGTCCTGGTGTTTTTCCTTGGTGGTTGAACAAATCATCGCCTTTTCGGCCCATGGAAGCTGAGTGTTTTTCGGGGGTGAGGTTTCCAGGGGAAAAATGGTTGGTTTTAAAGGGAATGGATTTCACTGCATAGTTTCTCTTTTTTCCCGGGGGGCTTAACCAAACAACCCCCCAGCTAGGTGCCCTTTCTCACCCCTTCTTTTTGGGGGAGGGTTCCCCTACCAAAATAGACTACAGAGAAAAGGGTACCTTATTCTAACCTCTCTACTGGAGGACCTAGTTGATAGGTTCCACACCCTAAATTTCAAGGGGATGTGTTTCGAAGGTACCCTTGTTAAGTGGAAGGCACAAAGTAGAACACGAAGTGTGAAGCTCTCCGATTTCAAATTGGCTGGAGAGATGTGGGCGTTTCTAAATAAAGAATGCAGGGGGGGGCGTTTAAAAAGGAAAAGAATCCCCGTGAAAATTGAAGGGTCAAAAGTCGATTCCCCAAAGCTGGTGCTTTGGTTTGCCCTTGCACGGAAGAGCACGAGTTGGTTTAGCGCGCTTTTTTCCTGGGTGTTTTGGTGCTGGGATGTAGCTGGTTCGCTTTCATTCAGGGAATCCACTGAACCAATTTTGAGGGTTCCCACATGTTGAGGCAAACCCAGCATGGCTGCAACCAATCCAAGTAAAGCCAACCACTTTTAAGGGGCTGACGCACCCGTCATTCACCTGGTGCATGTAGCAGCGTAGCAGGCAAACCAGCCGAGCACATGGTAGGTCACAATCAGGTGGATCTTTTCAAGGGTTGGGCGCAATCCACAGGCTTCCCCGCATCATGTGCATTGTGTTGGCCTGCAAGACATGTAAAGCGACCTGTTTTGTTGCCAAATGAAATCGCACACGGCCGTCCCCGAACATTGGGCATTTTTGAGAGGGCGGGGAGCCTTTGCCATGGTCTTCAAAACGAAACACACGATTGCTGGTCGATTTGAACCCCGCTTTGATTCACAGATATTCTGGAATGCTACCTGGATGTTTCCTTTGCGCACCCCTGTTCGGATTTTGAAAGTGGATGGTTCTTTTCGGTGAATTTTGTATGCCTGCGTAGTGATGGCTCGCACACTTGAGGGAGGTCTTTGATGGGAACTGGGCCCGTCGTTTACGCCTGTTCTGCCCACTGAAATGGGGGCTCCCAGTCTGGATGGTGTAAAGGCAGGCCAACAACGCAAACCAAAAAGGAAGCTGCCACTCAAGAACAAGGAGACTTCTTGATGGTGATTAAAGTGAAGTCAAAGAGCACTGCCCTCTTTAGGGCCCTTGTGGGGCCTTCTTGGAATTGGGAACAGCCATCCTCAAGATGGGTCTCCTTGTGATCCTCTAACACAATACCGCAAAAGGCCCTCCACAACACGCCCCTCTATGTGAAGGACATGTGAAGGGAGCGTAACCCACCCTATGTGTGCGTGTGTGTTCTTGATGCTTTGGTTGACTACATGGCTGGCTGATTGGTTTGACGGAAACTTTGTGGGCTTGGCTTGACCGGTTGCCTAAATTGGTTTGTTCATTGCTTGGCCTCTGCAAATTCACAAACCCAAGAGAGGGGATCTGATGGTTGTTTGGCTGAAGAAAGATATATGCCTTGCACAGGCTTTCCCGATGCTCTGCCCCACACATCAGGGTGGACACACTTTCTTTAAACGACCATGCCACGGTTCCCTAGAGAACTGGTTATTTGAGCAATAGTTGTTTTAGACATGGGCATGGCCCAGCCCTTCATATGGCTTCATCAAATAGCCGGGGGGATTGGAGAAACGCGAACATGCCCCATTTTCCTTTGGGTGTTTCAACACAAGTGGAGCCCCAAGTTCCCCAGACTGCAAAGGGCACAGCAATTGAGAACGCGATCTCACACTTTTGGACTTTGGTTTACCTCCCTGGCGAAGGTTCGTCATTTTTGGATGGTTGATTATACCCAAGCGGAACATCTCCCTACGACTTCTAATCTGTGCAACATCTCAGAAGTGCACAAGGTTCTAAAGATGGCATGTGTACACCCCGGAACCACATGTTGCTACTTCAACAATAATGGTGAGCGAAAAGAGGGGGAAGGAGAGAGAGAGAGAGAGAGAGAGAGAGAGAGAGAGAGAGAGAGAGAGAGAGAGAGGGCGAGAGAGAGATAGTCAACCATGAGAATCAGTTGGCGTTTCCTCTCAAATGGCAAACGAATTTAGGACCCACAATACGTGGCGCTGCTTTCCGTTTGGCTCATGTGTCATTTGCAAGTGCCGCCTATTTTCGGCCTAACAAGGCCCAATTCTTCGCGAGGCAGAGAGGAAGAGGCAGCTGCATGAGCAGAAGCTGAGAAACGAGCGGCTTGGCTGCGCACGTCCCCGGTGTGTGCTGATTCTTTGGGGAAATCTTCCGGACCAATCCACTGAGGAAGTTTTGCGGCCGACCTTTAGGACGCCCAAAGACATGCCCCAACTTTTGTGTTTTTTTGTTCGAACATGGAGTCGGGCAAGAGGAGAGAGGCAACCCTTCAAACTTCTGATACATAGATGAACGTTTCGCCCTTTTGCGGCAACGACTGTAACGCGCCCTTTGTGTACGTCATGGCCTCATTCTCTTTCAGTACTTCATGGCTTCTTGTTTCTTAAGATACGGGTGTGGCTTAAAAACAAGAGCTAGGGCAAACCGAAGGGTATAGTGTTTGGTTCCATTTACCAAGAGAGCCATTTTGGTACATGTTTTTGAGCCACAGCCATATTTGACCAACTTTCCGGCATGTGTTCGTAGATTGACATGTGTATCGGAAAAGAGGGCAGGGACGCATAGCATTCACTTACACAAGTAAGCGGATTGTCAGTGCCATATTGAATGGATGGCCCTTTGCTTAGCTTATCAAACAAGCTTACGGGTAAATAGGAGGCCAATCGCCAGCTGATGTCCAAATCGAGAAACTGCCGTCTGCCCTTGCGGTCAACACGACCGGAACCATGCACAAAAGCAGACTTGAGCAATGGCGCACTGACATATCAAAGATTTGGTGTCCGATGGTCTGTGTCCAACCGTCCTTTTTTTCGAGTCCGAGTTCTCGCTGATCTTGAGGCGTGAGTACCTGGAGTCTCACAGCGTTCACCGTGCCCGATCTCCCCAGGCGCGTGGTTTCCGATCGCACCAAAGGACTGTATCCGAAAGGAAGCCATTCGTTACCCGTCTAATTAACGGGTGACCCGAGCAAGGACGCAAGGACCCTTTAAGATGAGCTGGTCTGGGTATTGGCTCCGGAGCTATAGCCATTTAGCCGGGCCTTTCTGTCTTTCAAGATGTATTTTGTTCCGACCCTGTTTGACATGCACATCTCCGAATGGACATGCTCTCAAGAATGCAACCGAGTATTGGGAGCAAGCATGCAAGTCGAGTGCTGTTTGTAGCAGAAATGCCTGCGAATCTCGCAAGGGCAACAGAGGTCTCAATTTCTGGGGGACTTTTCCAGCCAAGCCCCCAAACTGCGTCCCCAAAATAAGGGCTCGTTGAACAGACTCAAAGGCGTGCACAGCTTTTTGACTGTTCCCTGTCTTTGGGAAATCAAATGTTTGGGACCTTGTTTGGCCTTTCCAGAAATTTGTGTGTTTAAAGCTCTCCTCAAGCATGGAACCAAGCACAACAAACAATGGCCCATAAAGTGGCCCAAATCAAAAGCTTTAGATGCTCAGCTAATCTTCGAACGCATCCTAGGAGGTACCCTTACTCATGTGGCGACTAGCCATGACATACCCATAGTGCATAATAATGTCTAATCAGTCGCTTCCACATCATGGCTACCTTTGTTAATTCAGCTTTGGAGTTATTCTAGAATTTGCAGACGAGTAGCGTGCAGCGTTTGATCGTTGCGCCTCTTTTTGGCAGCCTCGTGGCTCACCTTTGAACATGAAACCAGATCTTTGGTTCGAGCCGCAACTTCGTCAGGAAAGCAGCGGCATCTCTACGTGCAGCATGAGGGAAGCAGCCAAAGTCTGTCATTAGTCCATTCACCACTGCTGAGCTTAGCCAGCATAGCTATCACCAACTTGCCTGACGCGGTTGGTCCAAGTACAGGTCCCTCACCAGTGGTGGTTGGTGGCTGATCTCCGCGAAAGGTCCATTTCCTCTTAACAAGTCCAGAAAGCTCTGAACATAAAAGCCTGACCTTTGTGTGCGAATTCACATGACAACCCAACTTCAGCCTTGTACCCTGCCCAGTGATGTCATTCTCAAGGCAACTAGGAAGGGTTGTGGCTGCTCTATGTGTGCTTTGTTTGGAGGGGCCACAACACGTCCTTTCAGTAGGGCAGCCACGAAAACCACCAAGAAAGCCCGGGTGCCAACCATGGTGAGGCCGACCCAACGCTCTTCCAGCGCCTGGGTGCTTAGACGCCCAAGCTCGGACCATCGATGCCAGAAGCAGCGGGGTTTCGACCATAAATTTGGATTAATCGGAGTAGCCAAGGGTGAATCTGTAGTTTTGACTTCCTCTTTGGGCCCTTGACAAGTAGTTTGGGAGACTGGCTTTAAAGATTTCAGGGTTCCTTGGCTTCACAAGATGCAGGGAGTGATGAGTTGGCAGATGGGATGAGGGTGCCTTCATGAGAATTTCCCACAAAGTCTGCCCATTCCCTTCGCATTGGCAGAGCAAGCTTCATGCCCATTGGAGCGATCAGTCCATGATGGGGAGCCAGTTTTCCACAGCATTGATTTGCTTTCGGCCCAACAAACACGAAATAGTGACGTTCATTGTTTAGGTGAAAGTGTGAATTAAGTGTATGATTTCAGATCCCTTTGGCACAAGTATTACTCTATAGAATGAGAATGCAGAGACCTAGAATGCAGATATTTGAAGATCAATGCAAAGACTGCACATTTAGCATATGCTTGAATAGCCTTTGCTTTCTAAACTTCATAGTCTATTAAACAAATAAAACACATGCAGGGATATAGAAGATATACAATGAACACACTGCAGACTTAGCTGATGCTTTCTTAGCCTTTGCCTTTTAAACTCGCATTGGGCAGTATGACTCTAAAACAGCAAGCAAGTAGATGTTGATGTTTATTCTTTTGTGGAAAAGGTTCTGGAGGGGGCTTAGCAAATACATGCATGCATGCATGCATCCATGCATCCATGCATCCATCCATCCATCCATGCATCCATGCATCCATGCATCCATGCATGCATGCATCCATGCATCCATGCATCCATGCATCCATGCATCCATGCATCCATGCATCCATCCATCCATCCATCCATCCATCCATCCATCCATCCATCCATCCATCCATCCATCCATCCATCCATCCATCCATCCATCCATCCATCCATGCATCCATGCATCCATGCATCCATGCATCCATGCATCCATGCATCCATGCATCCATGCATCCATGCATGCATCCATGCATCCATGCATCCATGCATCCATGCATCCATGCGTCCATGCATCCATGCATCCATGCATGCATGCATGCATGCATGCATGCATGCATGCATGCATGCATGCATCCATCCATCCATCCATCCATCCATCCATCCATCCATGCATGCATGCATGCATGCATGCATCCATCCATCCATGCATCCATGCATCCATGCATCCATGCATCCATGCATCCATGCATCCATGCATCCATGCATCCCAGCATCCCAGCATCCCACGCATCCATGCATGCATGCATGCATGCATATATAAATAGACAAATATATATATATATATATGTATATGGGTGTGATCGTGCTTTTGGTTTGCAGGGAGCTTCTGACCAGGAAGTCTTGTCAAGCACCAACCAGCTGCGGTGGTGATCCAAATACTCCTCGATTAGCCCTTAAAGCAATATTTTTGCTGTTGGACATTTCGGCGGCCCAACCGTCCAAACAGCTGAGGACTTTTGCAGACAAAGCACACAGGCTTGCTTTTGACCCGTGAGTTTGTCCGCCCTGCACGGCGCACAAGACCAATTCTCGGGCGCGTCGGCGATCGCACTCGACCCGAGTGGGTTCAATTCGCCATGCGTAAGTCGTACATTTCTTGGAGCTTTGCGTTGCCAATTGACATGGAACTCAAAAGAGGGTTCCGAAAAGCAACATTTCTTGTCAAATGGACTTTGCGCTTTATCTCAATCCGCAGAGCACCAGCAGTACGACTGCTGAAAACTTAGCCCCCGCAAAATTCGTCAGGAGTGTATGGCTTCCTCTTTAGAAGTTGTTCCTTGCCAAGTAACTTAGATGGAGTTCTCCTGTTAAAAAAAGGTCCTCCAAGTTTTTTGCATGGGCCGTTAAAACAATTAAGATAAATAAAAAGCAAAAACAACTATGGAAATGACTTCGATGTTTGCCCAAAGCATCCACTTCCCTCGCCCGTGGCCGAGGCCTTCATGAGGAGGCAGAGATCAGAAGGCGGGTCCGAAGACCTGAGCCATTTGGCCCAAAGGGCTGCGTGTGTGTGCGTGTCTGTTCGTTTCTTTCTTGGAGTTAAAATATCCCCCCCCCCGCCTTTTGGTTGATTTTGAAGGGAAATCAAAGGGAAACACTACCAGGTTGGGGTTCCCTAAAAAAGATGACACATCCAAATGTTGTTACTTTTCTTGGTAGATGATGTAGATAGCGCAAAACAAAGCCCCTCTGGCATCACGTGTCTTTTTCGTTTCTTTAGAGAGTCGCCTTTCACCACGAAATCCGACGCCCTTGTAGAATCTGTTCTCGCCAGGCACCGAATGCAGGAGCTTCAGGAAGAGAAGGCCTTGGGACACCAGTGGGAAACCAACCGCTTGGGGTCCCACTTGGAGAGAACCTGGAGCCCATTCATTCCAACCCAAAACTTAAAATCCAAAGTAAATCTATTGCGGGGTAGTCATCAGCGAGTTGCCGCCAAGGAGGATTTGGGCATTGCACGTGTCTTCCACATGTTCACACCTTGTTCCGCAACCCTTCTCTCTCTCTTTCCCTCTCTCTCTCTCTCTCTTTCTCCGCAAGTCTACGAGGGCAAGAATCGGGCAACACCTAACTAGTATCAAGAATAAACAACTGCAAGTTCTCACCTACAGCCACCCAAACAAACACATGTTGGGCATCATGTGTGTGTGAACTGGGTTATTGGTAACCGAGCATTTTTTTGTTTGGACTCATGGGCCAATTGTGGCAGGTGCGCATCCCAGGAACGCCTGTACGTATCAACGAGAAACCTCACTGATTTCACGCAGAGATTCCGAAGCTGGCCGGCACGCAAAGGTAGCTAGGTCCCCCACTAGTGCCCTTTCACCTTTTTTGGGGGGGAGGGTTCCCCTACTAAAATAGACTACAGAAAAATGGTAATTACCCTTCTCCTAACCTCTCTACTGGAGGACCCAGGTAGGAAGCCGGTTCAAGCTCCTGCATGGAACTTTTCCAGGCTGCCACGCTGTCGCCCAGCCGTCGCCCGGGCCTCGTATCTGAAAAACTCCAAGCTCACGGGACGGGAAAGAAAACAAACAAAAAAACGAACCGGGGTACGATACTGCATTTGGTTGCTTAGCGCTTCCTTTGCCTCCAGCCTGAGGCAAATGTGCTATCTACCAGCCCTGAGAATGCTTGCGAAGGGTGCTACCAGATCTTTCGTTGCCGCACAAGAGTGTTATCTGTGTTTTCTCCCCTCCACCAGGTAACTTGCTTCGGGGAGTGGCAGCCACACGTCCAGAAATCGTGTTTTGCGTTGATCAAGTAAAATGTCCCTAAAAGTGGACATTTTGAGAGCTCGACATTTGATTGTGGCGTCCATTCCATGCGCTACTTGGGCAATCAATGGGCCCAGCAGTAGTCTGTTCGCAAAAAGCAGCCAGCACATACCGCTGGCCCCTCGGCCCAAAAAAGGCGCCCCCAGATCCCCCCCTCGTTTCATGTTAGCCCAGCTTTCAACGATCATGCAGAACGCCATTTATGAAGTCCGAGGCTCTCTGAAGACAGTACTGACGCGTTCTCTGGCGTGGCAAAAGTTTGGTCTCTGACTTTTTGGCCACAATCTTCCATATGGGTGTGGCTCAAATTAAAGAGCCAGGGTTACGCAGGTTTTTGTCTTTGATTCTTGAGCCACTGCCATATCAGGAAACTTAAGGATTTGAGGTTTGTTAGAAGGTTTCAGGCCTTCGGCCTCCCCTTGGCCATCCCTTGGATTTCATATTGTGGGGTTGTGGGGGGGGCCTTCCGTAGTTGTTTGCGTATATATATATATACTCTTCTTTTTTTTCCGGTGGATGCCCTTTGCAAGGGAACAAGGGAGACCCAGTAGCTTTCCATTTGCGTAGTTTGTTTGTTTTGGCATCGACCTCGCCTCTTTTTACCGAGGCGCTGCAAACGGGTCACGCCCACACCTGCGACTCTTTGAGTTGGCAGGGGGGAGGGAGGGGCCAAAGGGGTAGGCGTGCATGTTGCATGAAAGGCTTGAACATGGTTGTTGTTGGGACACATTTTACTTTTTTGCTTATTGTGGTTGAGTGGGAGATCCCCACTTAACTGCTAAACACCCCTTCCAACGTCATCCAAGTGAAGGCAGCGCAAGGATGCAAGGGCATGATTCATGCAACACGGCCGAACTCCAATCATGTCGATCCAAATATTGCAAGGCGACCGGGGGGAACCACATGATTTACCGCAATTTGCCATATGGAACCGGATCAAAGGCTGAATGATGAACCCATGGCCAGTTGGGCCTTGTGATTTATTTTGTGTGTGTGTGTGTCAATTTTGAGGTCGGACCCCCAAAATATGTGACTTTCCTTGGGCTGCTGTGTAGAACCGACCAAACAGGTTTACCCTCAAAAATGACAGGCCCATTTGACAGTTTGGCAAAAGTGCGCTGGCACCTCAAGACGAGCCGCCGGCTGCCTCGGCTCGGCCCATAGTCAGACCACATGGCATTTGTGCGGATTCCATTGCTGAACCATTTATCCCCGTGTTTCGGGGATCGTGTGTTCCCAGGATAAAGGTTTCGGGAAATGGCCGGATGGATGTTTTGCCTTGGCAGCTGAAGCAAATGGAGAGTGTTCAGCCCAAAGGCCCAGAGCCATGGATTTGTTGCTCAGTGACCTGTTTTTGAAGGCAGTTGAAACGCGAAATTGGCTCTTGCTCCATTTCGGAGTCTGTGAGGTTTTCGGGCGTTAAGATTAAGATTAGGGCGCCTGGTGGGTTGGGTCGTTTGTTCTTGCCGGGCTCTTATAGTTGCTTGCTTCAAATCACAGCACAACGGACAACGCGGTGGCAAGGAAACAAAAACAACTGATGACCTTCCGTTTGGCTGACTTTAAGTTAGCCCCCCCCCCCACCAAGCTCGATGGCTTGCAGAGGTTGTATGATAGTTGTGCATTTGGTTTTGACCTTGTAGAGGCAAGCGAGAGGATCGAGAAGCGCAACAAGCTGCAAAAGATGAAGGAAGAGCCCGGCTTCCTAGGATGTTGGAGCTGTATTGTTTAGATTCGTTCAGGTTTCTTCTTTGGGGTCCTTCAAAAGAGAAGCCAAAAGGAACACCATGGCCCCCAAAACAACACACACACACACACAGCCCGGTTGAGAAGCTGTCCGGAGAGCCAGATCTAGGGGGAAAAATCGAGCTCAAAGGCTTGGGGGTACCTGCTTTTCGGCTTATACATTTGCCCTGTAAGGCCTATTGGGGACGGTCCGGGCTGGGATGCTTGGAGTATACGTGTATATGTTGTCGCCTCCGGTGTTCGCGGGTCAGAGCGATGAAATCTATCGCAAGGGAGAAAGGGGCTGTGCTTGAGACCCTGGACAATGTCGCCCCGTTGACATAGCAATTCAGAGCCGTCGGGTTCTGCGTTGATCGCCGCGCTAGTCATGCCACGCCGAGCCAGCCCCTCTTGGTTGCGCGTGGATCCAAACGACGACTTGGTGCCAAGAGTTGCCACCCGTTGCCATGGGGATCACTGGGGCCCTCCCAGCCAAGACAACGTAACCTTGCGCAGGGCCTGAAGAAGGATAGGCAACTTTAGCAAGAAACACATCGAAGTCAAGCTTATGTCCAACGTCTTCGCATCCCCTTGCAGATGTTTAATCTGAAGCCAGGTTTTCTGGCCTATGCTGGTTTTGCAATGGTCAACCAGTAAAAAAACATGCTTTGCGATGGTCAACGTCGAGCACTTCCTCTGACCTTCCCGATGCCTAGGCAAGAGGCGGGCCCTGCGTCTGCTCGCTCTCCTCAGGCCGTTGGGGGTGACAGCCGGCTTGGTCAATGGTCGCCTTTGACTCACGAGAATGGGATCTGAAGGGTTAGGTGCAACCCATGGGATCCTTCAGTAAACCTCAATCTACCATGGCGTCAACATGATGTGAGGGACTAGATCACAGCAAAAGCTTCTGCAGGCATACTGGCATGGCGTAATCCCAGGCTCACACGGCCCGCATCTCCCAACGCACCGACCTGAGGGGACCGGGATAGGCACTTGAAGGTTGTTCTTCACTGTCAAAATTACAGGTCTCTAAACTCAATGTTAAGTTTCACAAGAGGACCTCTGCTTACATTGCGAAGGTTTCTTGTTCGCTTGTTTCTCCCTTCAGACGACGTGCTTGATGCTTGGTGCTTCAGTGCTTCTGCCTTCAGGTTGCGGCCGTGTACCAAGTGCTGCGGCACAAAAAGGATATGGCGGATCCAAATTCATGTAGCTCCTCCAAAAGATGGGGGCTACTTTTTTGAGGGTCCCCCCATCCAAAAAGGAGCACCCCCACAAAAGACAACACACATAGGAACATCTTCAGGAATTTGCCAAAGCCCTCATGTTTAGTGGATGTTTGGCCAATTTCCTGAATATCTTGTTGGAGCGGTGTCTTAGGACACATTTGTGTCCAGATGCAATGGTGCGTTTCAAAGTCCGAAAAGGATTGGCAGCCAGCCTCAACGTTCACTGCGAATCTGCCAACAGGACTGGCGCTGGCTTATGGCCTGTTGCTTGTTGAGCCACAGATGTGGCTGTTGCTCAAAAACATGTACCAAACTGGCACCTTGGTAAATGGAAACAAAATCAACACCTGCGTAACCCTAGTTCTTTAATTTTGACCCACAGCCATGTGGGTGTTTGTGCACTGTATGTGTGTTTGTGTGGGTGGGGGGAGTGAGTGTGTGCTTTGCACTTTGGAGTTGGTACGCGGTTTTTGAGAAACCAAAGGCCACGCGGCAAGCTTTGGCACTTGGAAGACAAACTCCAAGGCAGGTTGGTTTCAGGTCGCAAGGTCACTTGGGCACATGTGTCAATGGTCAACACACCCCTTTGAGTGATCAACACAAGGAGTTCGACCATGAGACTCTGGCAGTTTGGCCCAGGGCATTTTTTCCTGTGCGGGTTGCTCAAAATCGGAATCTTTATATATTTGTTTGAATGGCGGGTGCCCTTCTAGGGTTCGTTTAACATAGCAACCAAAAGGGAGGGTGGGGTTGGGGGTGGGGGTGGGGGTGGGGGTGGGGTGGGGTGGGGTGGGGGTGGGGGTGGGGGTGGGGGTGGGGGTGGGGGTGGGGGTGGGGGTGGGGGGGTTGGGGGTTAGGGTGGGGGTGGGGGTGGGGGTGGGGGTGGGGGTGGGGGTGGGGGTTGGGGTGGGGGTGGGGGTGGGGGTGGGGGTTAGGGTGGGGGTGGCGGTGGGGGTGGGGGGGTGGGGGTGGGGGTGGGGGTGGGGGTGGGGGGGTGGGGGTGGGGGTGGGGTGGGGTGGGGTGGGGGTGTGGGGGGTGGGGTGGGGGGTGGGGGTGGGGTGGAGCAACACAGTGGAGCTGAAGGCCTGGCAGACTAAGACAGTCTCGGCGGCGAGGATCAACCGCAACCCGGTCCCTCTAATTTTCCCGAACTACAGCTTCACGGAGATTCCCTGATCAACACCATTCGTGGCCACGGTCAGGAGGCTGGCGGAGGAAAAGGCATTCCAGGACATCGGTGTGTTAAACTGCATTTTCCTTGGCAAAGGTGGGGTGGGGTGGGGTGGGGTGGGGTGGGGTGGGGTGGGGTGGGGTGGGGTGGGGTGGGTGGGGTGGGGTGGGGGGGGGTGGGGTGGGGTGGGGGGGGGTGGGGTGGGGTGGCTGTAGGGTGGTGGGGTGGTGGGGGTTGGGGGTAGGTGGGGTGGGGTGGGTGGGGTGGGTGGGTGGGGTGGGGTGGGTGGGGTGGGTGGGGTGGGTGGGTGGGGTGGGTGGGGTGGGTGGGGTGGGTGGCCCTGTGCATGACTTGGCAACTGCCCTGAAGCCCATTGTTTCCGAAGCCACTGCAGAAACATGCGATTCCGGAATGAGATTGCGAAGCCAAAATTGCGATTCTAAAGCCCAACTCAGTACTTAAGAGGCCATTCTTAACATCGCGAGAATTTGCGATTTGCGATTTTGCTGCGCGCCAATTAAGTTTACAGCCAATGCACCTGCTCAAAGCCTTCTGGCAACAGAAGTGCACAAGCTGTGGAGGGACTCACCACAGCCTTGACAGTGCGTGCAAATCAGTTTTTATGACAAAGGTGCACTTCAGAATGATTTGCTTCCGCGAATAAACGATTCGCGATTTTGCTGCGCGCTAAATAAGTGGGTGGGGTGGGCGGGTGGGGTAGGGTTGTGGGTGGGTGGGTCTGGCGTTTTGAGCAGCTCAGTGACCGCCTTCCCGCGGTTCCTTCAAGCGAGGTCTCTTTGAGGAGGGCCAGCTTCGGCAGCCGGGGGCCATGGGGCCAGGTGGGTGTTTTTGATGGCGTCCTTGGGTTGCTGTCAAAGGGAACCAGGAAAGGGTTTTTTGAGTTGCTCCATATTTTGACATACCATGACATGCCCAAATGTCGCTAAGTCAAGCTTGTTGGTCAGTTTTGTAAGGATGGATGAGGTCAAGTTTGTTGGTGTGGGCCAATTGGTGAGGGAGATTTTAGGTTGTGGCATGTCTCGGGGATGTTGACATTTGCAGCATGACGCCCCGAAGACGCCATATGAGCAGTGGTCAAAAAAATCACTGTCTGCTACGGAAGGAAGGGGGTCTACATGGAGCACTCAGCAAACTGCTACTAGGAAATGCGGGCTACTTTGAAACTTCCCATGTCAGTTGGGGACACAATCAACGTTGACCGCAGCTCATATTTCAATGGATCAGTGGCAGAATGGCACTTTGAGTGTCCACCGCGTTTGGCTGGAACAGTGCAGAGCAATCATGGGTGCTTGCCAAGAATGCCTGACCCTTTCGGACCTTATCTCCTTCAACAATCCAGCAGCTTGGCTTGCCTGAAACATAATGTGTACACTATATATACATATATATATATATTTATGTATTGATGCTTGCCACCCCGTTTCCAGAACCGCTTTAGGCTTGGCATTGGGAAGGGCTTGTCAAGGGACCCCTGCGCGAGATACTCTAGAGGCAAGGAATCTTCACATGAGACGTGTTCTAAGTGGAGAGGGGGAATGTGAAAATTTGCTACAAATCTGGGCGGTCCGATTGGCTTCGCCTCAGGCAGCGCTTGATGGAGAAGAAGCGTGAGAAGGACATCGCGACAGAGTGCGGCTCCGGGCGCGCTTGGTGCCAGTGGATGAAGATGGGGGACATGCGGTTTTCCTTGGAAACAACACTGGGTCCCCCAGTACTGCTCTTTTACCGTTTCTTTTTTGGGGGAGGGTTCCCCTACTAAGATAGACTACAGCAAAAAAAGTACACGTATTCTAACCTCTCTACTGGAGGACCTAGAAAAACAGGTCATTCACGTGCTGCCTTTTGCTTTTGGTTCTCCAACGACAAGCAGACGATAGGTGCGTTGGACAAGCACCTCGTGAGGGTTTGTTCAACGATGGTCCCAACCTTTATCATCCCTTCACTACCCTGCTGGTTGATTCCAGCCACGAAATAGTGCCACAGGAAAATGCTAAGAGGGCATCGCTCCGGTTGAAGCTGCCGGTCTGAAGCAACGCAGCTGCCCATTTCCTCCTCGCTTGAGGAGATCCGGGAGAGCGAATCTTTGGCAGCGGATCTCAGTGATATTTGGAGAGGGGTGTGGGAAGAAAGTGGCAAAAGGGGTCTGGTAGATGCCCAACGTATTGCAAATCCGGGTGTAATTCCTCAAGTGATTGCATTTCCATGGCTTGTGCTTGGTTTACTTGTAATATTTGGGGCACCCCGGCACAGCAGAGGCTGGAAGGTGAGTGGCAAGCCCCCAACTCCCAAGACCCCGCAATATGGGCTCTTGGGCTTGAATCTCCCCAAATGGTGCGTAGCAAGGGTTGGCCATGCAGGATCCTCCACGTGCTAAACGGGTACATGGTCGAATTTCTTGGGACACTTGTACGAGGTACAAACAACAACAGGAAAGTGTGTGTGTGTGTGTGGTAAAACGGTAGAAGGATAACCAGGGTTCCTACCAGCAGAGTGAAGACCAGATAGATTCTCGATGTCGACCGTGGATCAATGAACCTTGTGGATTAATAGGGGGTTGTTGGTGAAGAATCGCCGCCTGAATGGGCTGCACCCTCCAAATCAACCAGGGGTTTTCAATCCTGGGTTCCCATTAATTTAAATATGCACTGGCCCGTTTGAAGAGGAAATTATGTTCTCGTGTGAGCTTGCTTTTTTGAAGATGTGGAAGCTGAAGCGACTCGGCCTGCGATTTGAGTCGCTTTCTTGTCTTCTGCCTTTTCCGGTGTCCTTTTGCTGTTGCTCTTTCGAAGCGGGCAACGATCCTGAAGACCCCTGGCCCTGGGACGTTGTCGTAGCGCAAGTCAATTCCACTGTTCGAGTGATTTCAGAAGCCGCGAACCCAAGCCCGGCGCAGGTGATCATCACTCGTCTTGACATGGTGTTTCAGCTTGCTGCTTTGAATCCAATCACTCCTTTTCTTGGTCGGGGCGAAGGGTTACCTTTTAACACACCCTGTTCAGATAGCAAAGTTGGATCCAGAGGCCCTCAACAGGTCACCGTGGAGGGGAGGGGAAGGTCCATTCGTTTCCCCGAGGGGGGGGGTTGTCGTGAGGGGATGCTGGGTCTGTTAAAATGACATCCTCCAAGTTGTGATCTCCAAATGGGTGTGATTTGTGTTAGGCCCCCCCCAAAAAAAAACAAATCAACAGATATTGCTGGCTTCCTTTGGTTTTGCTTTAACCGCCAAAAAGGGGGAGCTTTAAAAAGACACGGTGATTGATTCAAAAATCGGCGGGACCCAACCCCTCAAAATTGGACCCTGGAAATACCCACCCGACCCTCGTCCGAGGTGTGCAGCCCCTCGCGCCGCAAAGCCAAGGCCGACCAATTCGGATCGGGCGATCCGTGGACTGTTCCGAACGCGCGCGCTCGTTGGTGTGTGTGTGTGTGTGTTGGTTAGTTGGTTGGTTGGTTGGTTGGTGGGTGGGCGGGTGGGTGGGTGGGTAGGAGGGTGGGTAGGTGGGTGGGTGGGTGGGTGGGTTGGTGAGTGGGTTGGTTGGTTGGTTGGTGGGTGGGCGGGCGGGTGGGTGGGTGGGTGGGTTAGTGAGTGGGTTGGTTGGTTGCTTGGTTGCTTGGTTGCTTGGTTTGTTTTTTTTGGGTAGGGTTGGAAACCGCACAGAGAAGCCACTATTCATTTGGGTTCCCCTATTTTAAACACATACCTTAGTGAACATTCGCAACATGACGTTGGAGTGGTTTCCCTTCAAGCAAAAATAAGCAAGTTGGAGGGCAATTTGGAGGTTTCACTCCAGTGAGTTCTCCAATATCACAGGGCAGAGGATTGTGATACCTTGGGAAGGAAGGAACAGTGGCGACTGTAAGGACGGGTACAACGGATGTTTCTCAAAATGGCGGCCCCAAAAAATAGTTCTTCAGTTTCCCTCTGCTAAAAGGGGGTCCACCTTTTTGAGGAATTGTCTTCGGTTCGGTTTCTTTTGAATCTAAGTGTCGGTTCAGCTTGGGGGCCCGGGGGGCCAGCTTGGCCTTCCCACGCAGCCCTGGTTGATGACAAATCTGCACCAACCGCTTCATGTTTGGGGTCGTTTGTGTTTTCTTGGGCATCACAAGCAGCATGGTCGGCAACTTGCAGGGCGATGCTTGGAGGTTATTTGGGTTTGCTTGGGCATTTGCACAGGCCCGCGGAAAATATGCAGATATGCAGGTCAACAACCTGCAGGGGTTTTGTTTAGGGTTGGCAAACCTGCAGGTCACCAGCACTATGCCTGGGTATTTGTGTGGTTTGCTCGGGCATCAGCAGCATCATTCGCGGTCGCAAACCTGCAGCACTATGCTTGGATTTTGAAGCGAACCCCAAACCCCAAGCTGCCGGTTGGCGACCTGATTCTTGCCGTGCAAGCAAACGCCCTAGGGTCCCGCTATTTTGGCACGTACCTACCTACGTGTTGCGAAGCCAAGTTTGTTAATCGAGTTCAGGATTCATTTATGCGATTGGCGTTCCGAGCTAAACCACCATTTGGGACTTACCCAATTTTGCCACGCCAAATTTACTACAACCATGTGGTTTAAAGGGAACCCAAAAAGGGAAACCACTTTGATCTTTCGCCACATGGGTGTCCCCCAAAATGATGGTTTTCCTTTCGGTGCTCCTTTCAAACCACTGAAGAAGGGGTAAACTTCAAAAAACAAACGAAGGTCCCTGCCACATGCGCGAAGTGGAGTTGTTTTTGTCGTTCCGTCAGGACACGGAGGCCATATTCCAGCGCCTCTTCAAGCCGGAGCGCCGGCGTCGCGTGCAGGATGTGCGCGAGGCGCGCTTCCACGGAAGCGGAAGGGCGTGCGGGGCTGGGAGGTGGGCCAGGGCCAGGCGGGCCTTGGTGCGAAGCGTTTGGGATTCCCCAAAAAAGGAAACCAGAGATGACCATATCAGATGGGTAGGGGTCAATCCATCTCATTCACTAAGAACTTGCAAGTTAGTTGTTGTGGGTTTGAAAGTGGAGCTGACAATCTCAACAGGGAGTTCAGAGTTCGCCGTTTCGGGAGGATGGGCATAAAGGCAGACGGGATGCTGAGAACGGCGATTGAAGTGGTGCCGTCTAGCTTTTCAAGGGTCTCAGTATGAGTTTTGGCTCTTTTTTGGGTGGTTTTGCCGCGAAATGGTCTTTCAAATTGGGAACTCTTGAACACGAGTTTTCGGATGCGTGCGAGTTTGGGGTTATGGCAGCCATTGCAATTCGGCTGGGAGGGGGGGCCTTGACGGAACAAGCACAGCGTAACAGTTTTGCTGCTTTCTTCGAGCTCATCAATTTGTTGCATTCGACACCCCTATGTTTGCCCAGCCCGATGTCTGGCTCAAGCCATGCAACTATGTACCTGCAACTTGGGACACTCAGCATATACCAATACCCGGGGAGCCAAATTTTCCGAAGCCAAAAGAAAGCCATGCATGGACAGGAATCGAGTAATCCAATTCCGTGGAATAAAGGAGAGCGTCCCAAAGTCACGGGACCCCAATGGTTGGGAAACGTCCCGACCAACGTGCCCTGTAACCGGGTCACGCGATGCGATTTGTGACAGCCAGTCATGATCAGGATGTCATCTTGGTTGGTCGCTTCTATGAATGCGTAGGAATGGACCACGTGCAAGGGTGTGCCCAAAGGCTCTAGAAGATGTGGTCTCAAAATTAGGGTGTCTTGGAAGTGGTCGGCGTGCGTTCGGTTCTCTTCTCCAAACTCGAAAGTGGATTTGTATCCAGCTTTCAATTGACTGCGGCGCGGATTTCTTCTATGGTGACGATGCCCTCAACACCCATCCTCATGGTTCCCTTTGTGGGTGATGCAAATCATCATTTCTTGGGAGGATTTCTTGCAAAGGCTTGCTTTTGGTGGAGTGATGCTCAAAGAGTCACCATCGTGCTTTTCAAAAACCGACTGTTTCCCCAGGGTTTTGGGTGGATTTTTTGAAAGCAGGATGCCTGGAGAGAATGGGAAGGTTCCCCTAACTCAGTCAGCGTTTCAGGAAGAGGAGCAGTGGCTGCGCATGAGGAGGCCTCGGAAGTGGTCCTAGGGCCATGGGTCAAAATCCAAATCGTACCCCAGTGAACATCCCAATCCCCACCTATCCCAAAATTGTACCATTGGTTTTGACCCATGGCCCTAGAGCTTGGATATGAGCCACGGCTTTCGTGCGGCTAGTTTTGGTGGGAGAGCTTGTGGCTCTGTCCGTCCCAAATTGATCATCACTCTAAGATGGTTTCCACTGCCGAACTACTAATTTGAGGAGTTTGATGGGATATACAGCCACTATACAGCCACCCTGCAAAGGGCCTGGGGGTAGCTTCGGTTTGGAGATAGTGAAATCCATCTTAGAATCACTGGACATCCCAACCAAACCTCATGGCTTTGTCTCCGAATGCCCCCACCAAAGTTTGGCTTCTCGGATCTTTCTTTAAAACTTGAGCAAGTCCAAGATGCTATCTTCCTATAGTATGTTTGAGCTCGTTTGAACGGGCGTAATTGGTATTGCGTTGCTTGACGTGTTCACAATGCTCCCCTTCCGCATGGTGGAAACAACCTGCAGCTGGAATCGGGCATGAATTGGCCGACTACATCATTATGCCTTGACATGTGTTCCAAAAGGCTTAGTCGGTGACATCCCAGCTGAACGAACTGTCACTTTGTGTGTCTAGACGAACTATGCAACACTCGCAAGCGGCTAATGAGCAACAGCTGTCCCATGCGGCAAAGGGACCTCATCGCACATTCGAATGTGTTATGTTGGAAGACAGCCCATGTGCAAATTCATTACTCATGGCAAGCCACCTACGAGTGTGGAGGACAAACCTGGGGGTATTTCGGTTCTGTCGCTGGCCTTTGGGTTCAGGATTTTGGTGCGTCTTAAAAATGCCCCCCTCCCCCAAAATTGGGGAGCTGTGTCCCTTTGGTTCCCTCGGGTTCCCTGGCCCTAAAAGTAGAAAGACGACGAATGATCATCCATCAGAATAGTTCGATTGGGCACCCCAGAATGGGGGTTTTCCCTTTGACTTCTTTAAAGCAACAACACTACTCCGAATGCAGGAAGCCAGGTCGCCCTAGCCTCGCAGGCATTCTAACCCAGCCAAGCGCATGCCCTCCTTCCATGTCCGGCACCCAGCGAGAGGGGGGGGGGTCGGGCGGATTGTGCCTGGAATCGGCGGGCGATTCCCCGGGGTAGTGAAAGGAAACGGCAAGAACCATGACGGTAGATCCTTGAGGATCCGTAATATATTTTTTGGAAGTATTGAATGGCGGGAGTTGGGAGGGGGGCTGACCTTTTTTTGTGCATCGCGCTAGACCGCAACTAGGTTCGTGTTTTGGTCTGATTCTTGCAGTTTTCTAGTCGCGAGCGCCTGTTGCAGATGATGCAGGAGATGCTGGCTGCGGGGGTTGGAGATACTGGCTGGTGATGCCAGGGATGTTGACTGGTACTGCCAGGCTGGTGATGCTAGCGTCTTATTCATTGTGTTGACATGTTAAATGTTAACCGATGTACAATAGGAGTGCACTTGTTGCTATGGCTTGATCTGCTTGCGCATGCAAGTCTGTATTTGTTGTTTGCACTTGCCTTGTTTGTGTTGAACTCGTTTAAAAAGCATGTGTTTACACGTTAGCTGATTTGTAAAGAATGTTCCATTGAGCGTGCGACACGTGATTTGAAATATATGAATTATTGAAATTATGTTTGAAGTGTTCAACAGCTGGTTCAAGTCTGTTCTTACTCAATTGTATCTACATTCAGTTTGAAATTGAGTATACAGTAAATGGATAAAGCTATCAGGTAGAGTTTCATAAGGAAAGAACTCAAAGGTCGACAAATAACATCCTTGCCAACGGTCGCTCTAAAGCAAAATGAATAGAGCCTGAATGGAATTTAACTGGAACTCAGTAAGGAGATGCTTATTCCGAGTCATACGAAATTCTATCAACATTTAAGAGTCTATTTAGAGTTTCTTGGCTTTATACAATTCAATGAGAGTTTACGTAGAGTTGGATAATGACAAAGTCCAGTGATAGCGGTTTGAACTTAGAATGTCAATACGAATTATAATATTTCAAATTAGACTTTACACATGATTTCCTTTTTAGTATCATGTGCTTTACACATCTGCCAACATTTAGACACAATTTAGTCAAACATCAACATTCTATTTCAAATTCGACTTCATTAGTTCTTTTATTAACACACCAGTCACCATTTAAACACAATTTAGTCAAAACGAGTTTCCATTATATACTGGATGTTTAAGTAGGAATTCCTTTGATTATAAACAACTCCACTGGATCAGCCGTGCCCAACACCACAACCACAAAAAGCCTTGAAAACCAACAGAACAACCAAAGAGCATTCCCCCTGGGCTCTTGGCACAGCGATTGGCTTCATCTTGAACAAGTCTCTGAGAAATGCGTTTTTGAATAGTGTTGTTTCGTTTTTGTTTTGTTTCTTTTGCGTGGTTGTGCTGGGTTTTTTTTGGCTTTGGGCAGGGCTGATCCAGCGGAAGACTGTCTGAGGATTGTTATTTTTAGTTGTATATACATGTAGTTGTGGTGTTGGGTGTCCTGAGTGCGTTTACTTGTTTAGAAGCCCGGAAATGCATTAGACGGCAGAAAAGACTGCAACTTGCGCATATCCCAAACACGCAATAGAACAGATTGCAATTTACACAGATCCCGATCAAACACAAGGAGACATGCACCGACCCTTTCCCGGAGTGCACTTTTGGGAATTTGCGCACGCTGGTAGCCCCCTTTTCCTCTTTTTCCAAGGTTTGCAGATTGTTTGGGGCTTGGAACTTCCAACTTATTAGGGCAGGCAGGGCCTTGAATGTCACTGAACCTGTTTGCAGCTAGCTCCGTCTGCCTTGCAGCTCTCAGCAGCTGACACGAATTCAATTCTTGAATGCTCACTCGGGCCCTTCCACGCACGATGTTTGTTGGTCTCTCAAATCAAGGGCTGTTGTTCAATTTGGAGGTGTTCGCTTGGCTGACCATGGCTGTTGCTGCTGAGATAGGTGTTGCTCGAATTCTGGAACCCAGGGGCAGCTGTGCCCTAGCTTGGTTGCGTCAAACAACATTGCCGTCAAGGGTTGCAAGAGCTGGGCCTGCTACATTTGAGTGGCAGGGACGTATGGCAGATGCTGCCACTCACAGTCCACACCAACAGAGAAACTGCTGGCCAGTTTTCCGCTCATGTTGCTTTGTTTCGCAAGCATCCAAGAGGTTGACCTTGCTCTTGCCATTGGGAGGCCGAGGGTTGATTGAGCTCGGTCCAGCCAACTCTTGAGCACCTTCCAGACTGTCCAGCTTTGTCTCAAAACGGGAAATTGAGCAACACCCCAAGACGTGTGGCTTGGTTTTCCCTATGAACCCACCAAACATGGATACTCCCATTCCATCGCCAGCGGATGTGTTTTCGCCGTGTTTCTCAAAATAGGACCCGGTCCCCTCCAATGGCCGGTGTGCTCTTGGCGTGAGCCACAATCAAAACCCGGGTAGATGAAGGTTAGTAAGGGCCAATCCCAGCCATAAATAGCTGCGGCCGCCTTCTTAATTCTTTACATGGTTCTGGGTTCACCATTTTAGTACCGGGTTTTGATTCTGGCTCACGTCCCTTTCAACACCACAAGCAGTCCGCCCGAATCTGCCGCGGGGCCAGCTCCACAAGTCGCCCAGCGAATCGCCCAAGGCGAGCAGGGAGGGTCTTACGGAGTCTCCGGGTTTCATTATGTCGAGCATGGTCTGCTTCTTTTGGCGATTCGAAAGAAGAGCTGTGGGTCTTAGCCGGGGATGGGTTTTAGCCAGCTGTGGGTCTTAGCTCGGTTGCAAGTGAGGCAGCTGTCCTGGCGATTCCAAGTAGACTATGGTTTGGGGTGTGAAGAGCTTTGAGCTTGCAGTACTGGGTGATTCCATCAGCCCCGAGCCAGCACATGGGTGTCCCAGTCACTGAAAGCTTGGTTCTTGAATACCGAGATGTTGCCAGTGGGCTACACTACTTATCCCCTCGCGTGTATTACTAATTACAGGGGGCTGATCAATTTTTAACACTATGTCCAAGGGTCGAGACTTGATTGGGCTCCAAACCCTCATGATGAAGAATATCTCCTTATACGAAACACTTGTTGGAATCTATTGAAGGAGTCGCTTCAACCGGCTCACAAACCCGCGTCCTGTTTGAGGGCCCGCCCGCCAGCCTTGTGAGTTCTACCATTGGACCCCGAATGTGATTATTTTTGCACGGTTTTCCGGGCAACTGGGACTGACAATTGGTTTGTCAATGTCTTGGATCGTGCACATTGCTGACTGAGCCGACTACTCGTGTCAAAGCGAGGAACTTTGAGATCCCCTTGCCACTTCTGCGATTTGCTCCCTTCAAGAGAATCATGTTTTTTGGCTGTGGATGGACAAATGTGTTTCGCACCAGGTGGTGGTTTACCAACAAGTATTCATAGGGGTTGATTCGTCCCAACTCCAGCGCTTGGTGCGGATGTTGTCCACACCCGCACTGGCGCCTCGGGGTTTGAGCGTAGGCGATCCCGCGAGCGCAGGCTGGAGCGGGGGTCAGGAAAGCCTACAGAGTCCGATCGCCACAGGAGAATTATGAGTTTTGTTGCATCCCCGTGGAATCCCTTGTTGCGATGCAACGGGTCACCCAAGGGGCTAGACCACCACTGGTTCACTCCTACAATCATGACTAAAGGGGTTTTTAGGTTTCCCGCGAAGCCGTCCAAAGTATTTCTGCCCTCCGCTGATTCGCTGTAATTTTGGCTGGAACCCCTTTTGGCACCCTGGGATATATTTTGTATTGAGTTACAAAATATTCAGGGGATCAACAGTACTAAAGATATCAACCGTGGCGATGTTGTGGGTTCAGACACTGGGTTATTGACTCACGTCGTCTCGGAAAGCCACAAGTCGGAATCCCCACAGGGATCAGCGTGTGTCGAAAGAAATAGGCTGGGGTGGGGTGTATCAAGCCACGGTCATATTTTTGGACAGCAATGCCTCGCGCAGTCATTTAGCATCTATCAATTGATGTCATACCCCTGGTGCGTGTTGGAAGCAGCAACGCACGAAGAGGATCATTTGGAGGCATGCATGGTGATGCAAGGACTGATGCATCCTCATCCCAAGGCCATATCCAAATAAGTACGGCTTATGGCACAACTCGCCAACCGTCCTCCTTCCAGCTCGGGTTTACGATCCTTCCCACTTGTCCCTCCAGGTTTTATCGGAGGCCGAGGCGCGACAAGGGAGCCTTTCGGGTCGCCAAGACGGACTTTGAGACCGTGCGTGGACGGATTCTTCGCATTGTCCTTTGAGTTTTGTCGTCGTGCTGCTTGGTTTGGTTTCGAACCCCAGGGGGCTTGTAATTAAGTTTGCCGGAGTCCGGGCCTCTGCAAACTGTTTGGTCAGAGGTAATTGGGAGCCTCAATAGATTTTTTGATGGGCCCGGCAGACTGGGCTCAAACGATCTCAAAATAAGTTGAAGCCCCAAAAAAGGTGGTTTCCTTTTGGTTCCCTCTACCAACCGCTAAGCAAGTCACCAGACATGATTTCTTAGAGCATCGCCAAAGCACAGGCCAGGGGACTGACCGAGCGATTCGTCAGGCTCTCAAAGAGAAGCCCAGCGTCTTCGACTTTAAGGCGCGCAGTGCGAATCCCACCCGCGCGGAAGACTGTTTTTTTGTTGTTTGTTTTTTCTTCGATCGAACGGCGTTTTTTGTCTTGTGTCGGGCGGTAGGGAGCTTTCAGGGCCGTGGATGGCTGAGGGAGCCTGATGCTGACGTGTGAGAGTGCTGCCGGAGGTTGTGTTTCGCCGCGACTGGCAGGCAAGCGCCAACTTGGCCACAATTCCTCGGCAATGGCAGGAAACATCGACCGCCTTCGACCGCCTTCATGACTTTTTGCATAGGGAAGGGTTGCAATTGCTTGCTCTCTAATTGTAAGGACCTTTTGCCACTTGGCGCCTTGCGGCGTTTCACAGGGGCCGAGCGCCTTTCTCCATAGTGCTTGGATGTTGGGCTTGCCAGGCCGCAACGGCCGAACTCCAGGCGCGGAGTGTGCCAAACTCTGTCCCGCGTTAGGGTTCAGGCATCTTAACAGGGCAAAAGGGATCGACTATGTGGCTCACAAAGGACGACCACACAAACAGCCACACAACACACATTGTGTAGGGACGCAGGGGACGGAGAATGTTTGAGCAAGCCAGTGCGGAGATGCAAAGCAGGAGCCAATCGGCCTGTGGCTGCGCAAGCCGGCAAAGCACAGCAGTTGTCGATTGACTTTTTGGGGGAAATTCAACGCTCTCCATTGGTGCCGGCCGCTGTTGGGGCCCCGCTGCATTTGCAAACCACCGAGCGAGTATTCCACTCGGTGCCAACATCGGGGGCCCTGTACCGTTTCTAATTGGGTCAGCCAATCAGTTGTGCTGTAGGGACATCGAGAGCTCCGGAAACCAAGCCAGAATTAGAGACAAGGGCTGCCCCAAGTCCGTTCTTTTTGGACCTTCCAATGGTGTTTCTCAAGAGGAGGTCCCCTTTCCGGATTCTGTTGAACCAAAATGAAACAAACCACATCAAGGGGTCCATGATTTTGAGAAACACCCAACTGTGACAGTTTTAGTGTAAGCTGCCATTGGGGAAATCCAGCGCCTGCCAAAGCCAAGATTGTCTTTTTCAACCAAAATGACAACCCACTCTGGTCATGCCAGGCGTATCCTGGGTGCAAGGAAATCGAACGCGACCCTTCCACTCGCGAGACGTGTTTGAGAAGTGCTCGGATAGGCTGTGGGTGTCAATTTTGATGGGGGACCCTTTGGCGGTCATCATCTAGGTGGGATTCATGTCCGCCAACCTCTTTTCAGGTGGTTCCCTACGTATACTAAGTTCATCGCCATTATGGGTGTGTCTCGAATAAGGGACTCCTGTGGCTTTAAGGGGAAGCCAAGAGGAACTTGCCAGGCTCCTCTCAAAGAGAAGGAGCCCAGCGTCGACTTTGAGGTGCGCAGGGTCTACAAATGTGCGAAAGGGTCATGGTGTTGCAATCGAACATGTCGGCGAAGGGCTCTGTGCTTTTCACTGAAAGGAAGCGCCGGGTGGATGGTGAGAGAGACTACTGACATACTGAGACAGTAGAGAGAGACACAGAAGAGTCACATAGTGACAAGTGACGCAGAGACACAGAGACACAGAGTGACAAGTGAGAACCATATGTCTTTCTCTGTTCTGTCTGTCTGGCTCTCTGTCTGTCTTGTCTGTCTGCGTGTCTCTGTCTGTCTCTGTGTCTCGTCTGTCTTCCTGTCTTTGTGTCTCTCTCTCTCTCTCTCTCTGTCTCTGTGGCCGATTTGTCGCTTTCGAGCTGCCTAGATGTGTAAAAGATTGGTTCTCGCGCAAGAATGTCAAATTTCATCCACTGCTTCAGCATTACCTTCAAAATGATTCCTTCTGCCCACTTCCTCCCATTGCTGGCATATTGTTTGACTGGCTGACTGGGGTGGATCGTGCCAGAATGCACTAGCCGGGTCCCTTCACCGGGCTCGGACGAACCCTGATGCGAAGAGGCCACCATCTCTCAATATCATACCACAGCAACAGGCAGCCGCGCCCACGGCCGTGCCTGCTGCAAATGTTGAGGCACGCGAGGGGCCGAAACTTGGGGGGGTTCACTCTATAGTCCCTTCGGCGGGAAGGACGAAAGACTTTGACAATTGAATCATGTTCAGTTCAGGCATGGCAAAAAGTGGAGACCGAAACATGCAGCACGCAGCATGGATGCAGCCAGTTCGGCGCAAAAGTGCGCACCGCCCTCGAAATCAAAGTGACGTCTTGGCCGATTTCTGAGGCCGAAGCTTTCGGCCCCTCATGGTCCCTCCATTGTCCGATCCGTTCGGATCAGTGGCAGTTCAACTGGAATCTGGAAGTGAAGTGATCAGCTCCTTTTCGTTTGCCAGCGGAATCCATACTGCAGGTGCCTGGGTTAGGAAAATAAGACGCCTTCAAGTCATTTTGGTGGCTTGGATTCGTTTCGTCTTTTGAATGTGTGTCTTATTTGGAAGATAAATACCCTCCCCTAAACTCCGTGTCACCAGGCCCCAGACCGCCGAAGGGTTAGCCCAGTTCAACAGCACTCTCTACATCCCTTTCTGTTCGGTTTCTCTCAGAATGGGTCAAACTTAAACCACCAGAAAATTCAGGATTCAGTTCCTTTGCCAGGGTTCCATTTTGGGTGCCTATGTTTGACCCACAGCCAAATTATTCTTAACACACATCCCCCTCTTTTTGTTTCTGAACGCTTCGCTGGTTGCAACTGTAGGGTTACGCTCATTGATTTCGGATCGCGACTCCGTCGCGCTCGCCTTTGAAGCCAAAGCCAGTAGAAGAAGGTACATAGTACACATGATTATCTTATGGTCATTTAATCCTGATTGATTTGTTTGATTGATTAATCTTGTGACAATCTTATGGTCATTTAACTGAGTTTTGGAAGTACCCCACCCCATTCTGATTGATTTGTCCTTTCTAGGTGGCTGCGCCTCCTGAGGCTCGTTTTCGCGAAAGCTGGGGTCAATGGGAGGTACCGCCTGGAGTTTCCTGTGTTTCAGTTCCCATGGACACCATGGAATCGCGGATCCCCCCCGCTGAAGGGATGTTAAAGGGGGACCAAGGGCCAAAAGGCACGTTTTTGGTGAAGCCTGGTGTTTGGCATTCGCCATGGAGGCAAAACACAGACAGCTAGAGGAAGCAACACTGGTGTGTATGCTGCATGTTGACAGTGCAAAACGAAACGCAACAAAAGAAACGTGTTTGTATGAGCACACGCTGATGCTAGCTTGCCTTTCTGACTTTAGCAGATGTCCTTTGAGTTTTAGCTCGTTTGTGCTGAACCCCCAGAAATCTGGCTATGAGGTCGGGCGGTGTTTGGCTCGTTTTGTGCCAAAAGGGCAGTTTTGCTTTCCCCAAAATTCCAACCAAATTAAACAGAGCATAGAAACCGGAAGCAAGCTTAAGGGGTCAGAGGACGAATATGTTTGGATTTTTGCCCCAGGTAGCACGATCTTTGCCCCAGGCTGCGGCCGTCACGTGCATTCAAGCGGAGGCGGCTGTCAAGGGACGGGAAAGCCGGCGGATTCAGATTTATCCTTTGGACGTCAATATTTAGGTGTCTCTCGTTTTGCCCCTTAAGCACAAAAACGAAGAGCGGTGATCCATCCTCCGGGCAAGGCATTGAACCTTCTGAATCCCGCAAAAATGCAACAACAACGAAACAGTGTTTCCATTTCATGCAGGATATGTTTTTCTGTTTGCCCAAGCCTGGCTTTGGGGAGTTGGCATGATTTGGGTGTCCAAAGAATGGGGAACCCTTTTCGGATAGTTTTGAAAGGGGAACTAAAAGGGAACCATCGATTTGTTGGGAACCACATTTTACGAATCACCAATTTAGAAAACTCAGAGCCCCTCCTCCCACTAGAGAGCTTCTATTGGTCTTCAGTTTCCCTAAGAAGGGGTTGGAATGTAAGTCATCGCGACACACTCGAAAGGCCCAAACTTGTCCCCCCCATCCTCGTCACATCTTTCTGGGAGGACAGGCAGGACGGACCTTCAAAGTCTTCTGTGGGTGTTGACTACCTGAAATGAGCCGTTGGCAAGTGTCATGGGGGAAAGAGACAGCAGCAGTTGTGCAGTGGTGCCGTTTTTCTCATCAAAACGCTCCAAGGGTCTGAGGTTACAGCCTTCGCAGAGGATTTCCGTGTTTCATCGCCGGCGATGCAGCATCCACTCGTTCGCCCAGGCACCTTTCGACGAAAAGGCGATCGACCTAGCGAAGGTGGCCTATTTGGTGCCGGAGGCGGGAGGCAACTTGAAGCCCTAGGCTTGAGAAAACTGGCGGATGGGACCAACTCGATCCATTTTCCCCACAGAGGTCTGAAGTTTCTAAAGGGAAAGGAGAAACCGGGAGGAAGGGCGGCCAAGAAAGCCCCCCTGTTTTTTTTCAAGGTTGGAGGATCAGGTGAGAGGATTCGCTGGATTGGAGAACCAGTTGCGACAGGGTCTGGTCAGGATGCACGGCCCGGAAACGGGTTCGTATTTCCTCCGCAGTGTTGCCTCTATGAGTGCTATCTCACTCTGGGCCTTCATTCCCCCTGGTTTGTTGGGTCATTGTGTATTGTTCGTTTGTCAAGCCAACGAGGTGCTCCAACACCAAAGTGACCATGTGTCTCAATTTCAGGAAGCCGTTTAACATGGCCACAAGTGGCCGAACTTCTTCCCGGCTGAGCAAACTCTGTGGAGCCAGTGTCGCCTTCCGCGAGTTGGCATCAAAGGTGCCGCACAGCGCTAGCACGTCGCGGTTGCTGGATGTGAGCTAGGAGACGGGGTCAAAGTTGCCATGATTCAAACGGTGAAATGGGGTAAGCATAGGTTCCTTGCAACTTTGTGACTTGGGGGCTTACAAGACTGCTTAATTTAGCACGACATCCCTGCGGTATCAAGCAGTGATGGAGCACTGACACGGAGGCTCGGGCCCTCTGGCAGAGACCCGGTGGCTTCTACGCGTCACTTCTCGTTTAGCTGGCTACCCTGCAAATGAAGATGACCAAAAAGCTTTCCAAAGGAAACTCCTTCTCAAATACTTTCCCGATCTTTCCGGGTTCCATGGGAAGCAGTTAGATGTGACCTTCTGACTCCTGCTGACTCAATTGTGACAGCGTGGACCATCAAAATTCCATTAAACAGGGGTGATTGCCCCAATGGGGTGAATTCCAGGGTGGGGCCTGGCCAAAATCTCCACTTCCAACATCCTGTCCATTGGAAAGATACACTCCCAACTAACATGGAAGCTCCCAGGCCTCTGACAATGGAGCCAATTCTTCCAACATCCCGGGAAGTTCCATGGAATCGTCTGGGGGAGGGTAGATTGCTTGGGACTCCTTTATCCAGACCCATGTCCAGAGACGCGCCAGGAAGTCTGTGACTCCGAGGCCAAGGGGAGATGGATGGATGGCGCAGGGCTCCCTTCCAGAATGGGGCAAGTTGCACAGCCGGGAGCGTGAAAGTACTACCCAAGGTGTTTGACCCGCTGTTTCACTCCCGCGTGCGCCTTTTGTTCCAAGTTGCGCCATGTAGGTTGATGTCTGGCACTTCATAGATCTGGAATTCTTCGTTTAGGTCATAGCTTGGCATGAAGGCAGGACTCTTTGGCCTTGCAGAAGCTCCCCAGACCATGGCACATATGCCTTTCTGTGATTCCAATTTGCCATATGACGGGAATTCCCGTGACTACTTTGTCACTTTCATGGGGGCTCTCTTCGCATCACAGACACTGACCCCAATTTCCCGAAGCCACGTTCTAGATCATGCAAGTGTGTGCTGCTTGTTTAAGGCCCCACCACCTTGAATCATTCGCCTTGTCATTCCAATGTGGCGAAAGGTAGGGTCTAGTTGTTTGAGTCTTCTAAGCCCCAAAGGATGCGAACCACAGCAATTGAGGGACTTGCCTCACTTGCCATACTTCTCGCTCAGGGTATGAAGCAACTGGAGGAAGGCGTCTTCTGCAGTTGCGTCTCCTATTGTTCTATTTCGGCATGCCAGCTGGCAACTGTTTAGGAAACATATTTTTTGCGACGGGGTCTCAGCTAGGGAGTTATGGCGACGGATTCGACTTAGGGGTGTGCGGCTGAATTGAAGAAGTTTGTTGTTGGCGTGAGTCATAATTTACTAAGCCTGGTCGCTATGCAAAAGAGGCGACTTGGACCAAGGGCTCTCTTTGGATTAAGCGCGGTGCAATGAGAGCTTGAAGAAGCAACCCGCTGTCTTGCCTTAGACAGACCTGTTGTGAAACAGGTGTGTGTGTGTGTGTGTGCTTGCTTGAGGATACTCTTTCAAGTTGGTTTAAAGCGACAGCGAAAGGCAAACCGGCCATCTTGGATTCTTCCTGTTGTTACACATACGCAGGTATTCTTCAGCTTGGTAGCCTGGCTCTGAACAAGCCTTGGGCTTCCGAAGCCTACGGGTTTCTTCCGAACCTTAGACTTGAAGCCACTGACCGCTTCATGTTTGTGTACCATGGGGATTTGAACTGGACAATTGCCGCCGTTGCCGTTGAAATCTAAGATTGAGTATTTCAACCAGTGCGAGTAGTTGCGTGTGGATGCTGTGTGCGGTGGGGATTTGCAGGTCGTGTCTGTGGTGTTCGAATGGGGCATGTCTCATCCGGCATAGTCTCGTCCGAAAGTTTCAAAAGTTTTACAACGCTTCTTCAGATTTTGCTGAGACTTGCGCTCCGTGGTGGTTGCACTTTTGCCAAATTGTAGACATTGCCTAAATTACTTGTTCACGCTTCGGGTGCGAGGGCAAGTGCTGGGCAGAAGCTTTTCGAGGTCAATGGTAGACAAGGCAACCAAGGAATAAAGCGGAGCTCCATCCGTTTTTTTGCATTTCGGGCAATCCGACGACAAGTTGGTACAACATTGCTTCGTACTTCGTTCCATCCTCACCAAGGCGGAACAGGTGTGCCTCTCTTTTTTTTCTGTGGCAGTGACTTGCATTCCATGGTGCTTCGCAACTTGACGGTTTCATTGAAAGGATGTGCGTTCCATGCGGGCAAATTTGGCGGTGACTTTTTTACTAACCTCGCCTCCCCTGGTGGTTTTAAAAGGAAACCAAATGGATTCAACACCATGGCGAATCATTTATGGAAGCATATCCCTTTGTAGTACTGGAGTCCACCTGTGGTCCGCGTCCACTCAAAATACCTACCCCAAATGTAGGTTTGAGCCGATTCCACCCAACCCGGATTCTAAGCTCCAGGTTTGGTCCGACCACTTCGGTCCGACCACTTAGTGATGCCCATCTGTCTCAAAATGAGGGAGCCACAAAATGGTTGGTATTTTGGTTTGGCTCCCCTGTACGTTCCATTCTTTTGCCCAATGGAAGTTGGCAAGTTCAAGGCAAATGCCATCCTCTTGTAAAGGCGGCAACCGCCGTTCACCCTGGGTAATCTGAGGCCCCCGGGGCTGAGGCAATGCGGCAAAGACAAATCAGAGACATCAAAAAGTCGAGGGAGTTCAGAGCAAACACTCATGAAGCCAAGAAAGAATCATGAACCAAGCCTCCCAGAAGTCATGAATCCAAATGACCCGAAGGGTACCAAGCTGTCGGGCCTCGACTTTCACCAGGCCCCCAGCTCGCGGCGCATCTCCTTGGAGCTGGACGAGTGCTGGTGAGCGAGCGAGCGATTTTCTGGCGGCCTGAGTCCTTTTGAGGGCGTGTGTCAAAATAGGGATTTGGAACCAGATTCTGGTCTTCCGTTTGGACTGCGTACCCGAAAAAAGGGGAACGCCAGCAAACATACACACCCTTGTGCAACACGCCTTCGTCAGGTGTCCCGTCCTATTTGTGTGCGTGTTTTCTTTTCTGGTGGCACGGGCCTGATCCATTTGCAGAATACCCCAGAGGCTGAAGACAACTTTCGGGCTTGGAACTCGGGCTGAAACGCGAAGCCGGGCGATGTGGACGGGTCATACTGAGTACACGCTTCGAGTGCGCGCGGTCGACCGCAGTGGCTACTTGCTTCAGGCATTTGTTGGGCGGATTGAAAAGGGAGAGCTATACAGCGCGATTTGACAGTTTGCCACGTTGTCCCCGTTGTGTGTGTGTGTGTGTGTGTGTGCGATTGGCTCGATCGAATCTGAATGGACAAGCATTGGCCCGCTTTTGCTGGTTTGAGCGAGGTTCTGAACCGAGCGAGGCGGGAGCCTCAAAAGAGGCGCTTCACAGCATCCTTTCTCCTTCCTTTTTATGCACTGGCCCCTGAACTATCCTCTCTGGCCAAGAATCACAGAAGTGGTCAGGTGCCTCTTGAATCAGGAGCGTTGCCCTGAACCTTTCAACTTTCAGTCCACGGATTCGACAGTTGCCAGACATCCGGCACATCTGCGGGCTCGGCTCAGACCTCAAGAGGTTCTTTCCATTGGGGACATGCGCCCAGGATGCGTGTTTTCCAACAACGAAGCCCCGGATGAAAGTCCTGTTGGGGGATAGCCAAGAAGCTCCAAGCTCAAAATGGGGCTAAGACATTCGAGAGTTGAAGCTCGGTCAATGGAGTTGCAAAGCTCTAGACTTCCACCTGTTGGGCAGTACTTGATTTGGAGTGAAAAACTTTAGAATTCCAAAACGGCGTGAATCTGGGCAAATTGCAGGAAGCTCACCGAGGGCGGTCGCACCCTCACCCCAAATAAAGGTTCCTTGCATGTGGGGCTCTGATTTCAGGTCGGTGTGCTGTCATTCACCGGGATCGATGGGCTAGCGCCCCGCTGGCACTAGCCATGTTGCAGCTTTCTGTTCCGCGCCTGCCGCGCGAAGGCGCGCAGTTTAGGGAGGGGTTGGGGGGAAGAGGGCAGGCAGACTGTGCTGGGTCCAACCATGTCCAAGCTCATGTCCAGTGTGGCCGGGCAGATGGGAAATATGATTCCTGCATCTCGAGCGCCCATATGAGGTTGAGCTTGAGCCTGGGCGTGGTAGCACCAGTGTGAAGCGTAGGAAGTCCGAGCAGCAACTCAGCCAGATCTTTTTTTTGCCGAGCCAGGCAGTTTCAAGATTCAAGGCTTGGTGGGGCAAGCTGTTTGGTTCTTAAGGTTTCCCGAAAAGGGGTAGAGGGAGCCTCCAATCCCTTGTCGGCAAGCTGGCAACTGGGCACTGAGTTTGTTGTACTGCTTTCCCAGTGCCAGGCTGGCGACTCGTGCGGCGGAAGATGAGCATCATGGACCGGCAAAACCGTTTTTTGGAGGGGCTTCCCTTCAGTTGTTCAGCGGCATGGGCCTGTGAGTGAGTGTTTCACGGCAACTTCGCATGTGCCACGATCACAAAATGTGCTCGTCATTTCGCAGTCAATGCTTGTTCTGCGGGTTCGGGACCAACGAAAGGTTCGCAGGGCAACTGGGCTTCCAGATCGTCTCACAGTGTCTCACATGTTAGGAGTGTACCTATTTCGAGACCAGGCTGGGCTCAAATCCATGCCTTCTACTCTGGCAAAGGATTATCGACCTTTTGCCTGGGGAGCACCCCAGTTGGTTGGTAAATGGACTCCGCCTTTCAACCGACGTGTTGGTTCCACCCTGCTCTGTGGGGCGATTGCCCCAACCAGAAAGTCTGCCACGTGATCAAAGAGCTGGCGTTGCGATTTTAGTTCGCGTTTTTCTTGGTTTGCATTGACGGTGTGCGTTCTTGTATGACTCTACTCGGTTGTTGCGTTTGCATCGCAAGGGACGGAGAAAAACTACTGTACTCACTCAATATATATTGGCGGGGACGGAGCACCCCGATAGCGGGCTCTGGTTCTTCGGAGGTGCAGTGTTCAGCAAGCGTCCTTGCCCAAAGCGCAGCCTCGACTTGGACCGCCTCCCGTTTCGGAGCTCGAGGAGCGGTACAAGAAGCTGCGCCCGGCACCATCTCCGGCCCCTGAGCCTTGGGTGGCCCTGGCGCGGCTTGCGCGGCTTGCGCATGTGTACGGAGAAGCCGGAGAAGCTGGAGTTGCGTCGCGGTTCTCGTTTTTTTTTGTTCCACAGAGCTCCCTCCCCTTTTGCGTTTCACCTGAACCGTTGCAAAGCATTGACAGTTTTTTAAGGAGGCGAGATGTTCGCGTGTGCTATCTCGCTAGCTTTCTCGCTCGCTTGTTCGATGCCTTGCCTTGCCTCACCGATTACGTGCTTGCTTTATTCGTTGCTGGTTGCACTGCTTCATTGTTTGCTTGTTGGTAGTGGTCTCTGATTCGATGGTTTTCTGGAGCATAGATTTGACAGGCCTGATCGAGTCGGCTTGGCTACCCCTGACTCAACAGAGGCATAGCTTGATCACGAATGGCAGGTCGATGAATCATCACTCACTTCCGGGGATTGTAGGGTGATTTGGATCAGGTGTTCCAAGCCCGAAAACGGAGAGCGGTTCTGAAGCAACTACCCATTTAGTTTCCTTTGGCGACAATCTGATTTGCCTCTATTTCTGCACCCTGCCTGCATCAACATAACATTCCAAAAAGCACGCTCAAGCCAAGTGTTGCCACCAATCTCTGAATCTGACGGCTTCATTTGACATCCTTCAATCGGACTTTGGTGTTCCGGTGATCCGACAACAATCGGGCTTGAGAGTGTCTTTCTTGGTGGGTTGATGCTGAAAGGATTCCCGCTACAACAGCTCGCGCATGTGATTCATTCAGCCCGCCTTTGAAAGAGGCGCCAAAACGGAGTGCCAGGTTTGAGAACCTGCTTGCATCCTTAAGCTGTCCACCAACTCACCAACTCCCCGCCGCTTGAAAGCCAGGCGCGGCCTGACTTGACGGAGGGCGCGCCGGCAGAGGCTGAGGAGGTGACGTTTTTTGGGTAGGGCGGGACCTGTAAGATGACCAAGGAACTCGACTTGCACTTAACTTTACTTGCAACATTATCTTGGGTGGGGTGACTGGAATAATGTCAATTGGTCGTTGGGGTGGTTGGGATGTTTGATCATCACTGGTTGGACCAACGGCAACGAGAAGGAGCTTTTTTGGGTTTTTTGCGGCTGTGTTCTGCGGGCCAAAAGATCTGTTGATCTTCTTGCTGCCAGGTGTGTGGCTTGTGGGGGCTTGTCCGCCAAAGCGATTTTCTTCACTGAGGGACAGACGTGACTCGGTGATCCCTTTAAAGATGAAGGCAGGGAAACCCAGGTTCCGGGGCGCATCGAAAGGGGGATGTCTCAGCATAGGCCCCCTCACCCCAAGGGTGCCCACCGCTCGGGGAAGCGCTCATGTCGACGCAATGGCCGGTGATGCCACGCAGCAACAGAGCACTCGCACAAAATGTTGACCCAAGTTGTACCCAGACGCATGACCATGGACCAAGCCTAGTCCAAAGACTTAGCCGTTTCATCCCTCCAAAGGGTCTCTGTAGTTCACCCCCATTCAGGAACACCTGCTAATACCCTCCACAAATGATTTTGCCTTGGCTGGCTCCTCGTTTTGTTATGACAATGAAAGATCAGTTGACTCGTTCCGAGAGAGCGCTTGTTGTTGTTTGCTTATGAAGGATCTATTTGGGTATGGGCGAAAATGAATTCACCCGAAAACCGCAGGCTTTAGTCCCACCAGTCCATTTACCAGGGCAAGCCACAGGGTAGGTGACCCGTTTTTTCACCACCACCGGCCATTTTCTCGTCTGGGAGCGCCTCCGGCCATGGCGTTCCGCCTTGGGCGCCTCGCGCTGCTCTTGGCGCCCGCGGGGGCCTTCGAGTTGGATGCGAAGCTGCCGCCCGGCGAGAGTCGAAACAGGAGTCGGGCGAGGCGGCGAGGCGGCGAGGCGAGGGGCGGCGAAGGTGGGCGCACCTAGCTTTGGCGAGGGCCGCCGGCTAGGTGCCAACTTTTACCGTTTCCTTGTTGGTTGGGAGGGTTCCCCTGCTAAAATAGACTACAGAAAGAAGTTGGTATCCTTATTCTAACCTCTCTATTGGAGGACCTAGTTGGGGACGCCCCGTACCATCCAAAGGTTTTCCGTGAAGCCCATTTTGACAGGAGATTTCTGAGATGTTCAATCCCTGCTGGGTTAAGAGGGAATCCTTCAGGGTTTCGAACGACTGGAGAGGGGCCTAACTGAATTTTCTGGAAGGACAATGCAAATGCTTCGACCAAAGACCCCCGTTGTTGGCTGTCTTGCCCATAGGTCAGGGATCAGTCTGGTTTGCACGCGTGCTGAACAAAAGCATTTGTTGGCCCAGCGTCGGATTCCTGTAAGCCTGTCCCAGACGATGTCCCGTGCAAGTCGGATGTTCTGGTTAAACTTAACCCTTCACGGGTCCTTTGTAATATCTGACAGACGGGGGTCAGGGAGGTTGACTTTGCAGGGGAAGGTTTGGGTCGTCGTCGGCAAACAAGTGAGCCACAATCAAAAGCCGGGTAGATGAAGGTCAGTAAGGGATAATCCCAACCATATATCGCTGCGGATATCCGGCTTCTTAATTCTTTTCATGATGGTTCTGGGTGGACCATTTTGATACAGGGCTCCTTAAAAGATACATTTTGCCCATTTGAAACATGTTGCTTTTCCACCAAAATAAAGGGAAACCACCATTTACAAGGCAATGTTCAGGTGTATAATGGAAGGATCCCTGTTTAATACCGGGTTTTTTGATTGTAGAGCCCTTGAGCCCGGGAAGCTGCAGGACTGCCGGTCATCAGTAGGATTCACCGACCGCACCGGAAAAGAGATGGGCGACGAGAGAGGTTTTCGAGCCATGTCTCTGTGTGGAACCCTCCAGAAGTGGCGAACCCTCCAAAAGTGGCGTTCTCCGTGTGGAACCCTCCAGAAGTGTCGATCGAAAAACGTTAGAATCGAAACCGCCAGTATCACTTGTTGATTTGGGGAAATCCGGTTGACCCCTGTGGTGTATGATCAAGGTTGGCTTCTCCACTTCCGGAAGCCGAATTTCCATTGGCTCGAAGGGGATCTCGGAGGTATCAAGCTACAAAATCCGTATGCTCAGGACGAAAGAGCTGGAAGCATGGTGGGGGAAGGCTGGACTTGACTCGCGGACTCGTGCTCGGAGGCAAAAAGAAAACGCACCATTTTGGGGGTCCCCCTGTTTTGGCACCAAATCAACCTCGGAAACCCAGCACCCCAATCATGTGCAGTTGCCTGGTGCGGAAATCTTTCGATTGGGTGCTTGATACCTCATCGAGATTTGGTGGTTTGCTTTTGTAACACCCCAACATTCCCCTTATGGGTCAAAGATGTAGGTTGGCATTTGTTCACCGGGCGGTGACATCAGAGTGAGCCTTTGGTGGGTCCCAAACCGATGCAACAGACGGCGGAGGCCAGCGGGAACCTCTGATTGACTCATACCTTGCCAAATCCCAAAGGAGATCACACCACTGTTCTTCATGTTGACCCTGGAGAAATCCCAGATGTCGAGAACGGTGTCCCCAGATTTTCACCTGCAAGGTTCTGATTAGATCCGGGCTCGGCACTTCTTTCCTTCAGAGATCCAAGCGAGACGGGAAGCGAGAGGTCGCGAGTGTTTTTCGGTGAATGCCCACAGGTCAAAAGGTCCTTTGGGATGACCATTGGTTGGAAAACCACATGATATTTCCCCATGGGAGAAGTGTCCCATGGTCAAAACTGAGATTGATCCACCGAGGGACCGGCCCAGTCGTTGCTGCGCCTTTCAAGCATGCATGCGCAAGGGCGAGTGAAGCGCGACACTGCGCAGGAGTAGCCCCAAAAGTGAACAAACACTTCACGTCAGACAGATTCTTCAAAGAGGTGCACCGTGCTCCAAGCGCCTTTTTGGGTTGGTGTACAAGGAGTTTAGACAAACAATGTAAACGTTCCTCATGAGCATGACCTCGCCGGTTTTTGTTGTGCGTCTTGACCATGAGGGCGGAACGACCATTGGCTACTCAGACTTGGTCGAGCTCATTTTGTGGGTTGGTTCATGTTTGTTGTAAACAAGGGAGCGCTGTAATATTAATTTCTGTTTTATAATTATAATAAATATAAAAAAAAACTGTTCAACAGACACCAGCCACTGCTTTGCCCGTCGAGAGTTCGAGTTTTGAGAAGTTTGCCACAATTGTGGAAGGGAACCCCTTCAACTGCCACGTGGAGTGCAGGACAACTATGAGAAAATGGCGGAGGAGGCAAAGCTGGACACACGCCTCACAGGACGGGTGCTTAAGGGTTGAACATGCCGGTTGCCTATGGTCCGTTTGGGATGGACTTGGGGTAAAAAGCGGGGACTGGGAAAGTAACCTGGACCGTGCCGCAGTGTAATTGTGAAGCGTGATAGTGTGTACATAATTATATAATATATATATATTAATATGTATTAATATGTATACATGCATGTTGCACCAACCAACAGGAATGCACTATTCGTTTGGAGAGGTGAGGCGATGGATGCGCCCAAACGGTCGGGTCGAAGGGCAACCCATGTCTCCCTGTAGCGCTGGCCATGAGTTTTCTTCGGCCTTGCATGAGTTTTCGCGGCACGCGAAATCGCCGGCGGACCTCCCCTCCTCACAATGAACCAAAAAGCAATGCCCCAAAGCTAATCTAGCTGGAGCTCAGTAGGGAATGATTCAGGGTGTTGGGAATGAACCTTGGGACTGGGTTAAAAAAAAACAGAAAAAACAACATAAGCGATGAAGTTATGGGGCTCATCCGTTCAACTCATTCCCTGCCTATCGAACCAGCAAGCAATTGGTGGTAGTCCCAATGGGAAACCCCGAAAGAAAGGAACACCTTTCCCTCAGACCTGCAAGTTTCCCGTGTGATGCTTCCAATCAGCGCGCCATGGTTTGCAGAGGCAAAATTCCCTTTGTGGATTCCTTTTTGCTTGAGTTCCCGCCATGACAGTTCTTCCAGGGGTCATTGTTTGCCAGAACTTGATATGAATTCCATGGCAACCGAAGCACCTCTCGGACACCCCGAAAAAGGAAAGAACAAATCAGAAACCATGGGAAACACCTAAGCATTGTCCCTTCCTCGATTGAAACATAGACAAATCGATTGATTTTAATGGTCCAGACAAGGACGGGTAGGCTTGGGTAGCTGAAACGACCCAATGTCTCTTTCAAACATGTCAAGAACCCTCTTTGCCGATCTGGGAGACCCCAAAGCTTTCAGCTGGGGAGAAATGTGTTTTTTTCAGACCTCTGGTTGAGTTTCTTTGGACTTTGGGCCTGAGTTTCTGGTCTTTTTGAAGGGAAACCAAATTGGGAGACCCACAAGAGGTCCGAACCATAGAAAGGGAGACCAAATCGATTGGGAGACCCACCATAGAGGACCGAAACCCTTGAGACGCCTCAGCTTTTTCAGGAATTACCCTCTGCAGCCGCACCACCAGCGCAGTGGAGCGCGCCCTTCGCCAAGTCGCGGAGCGCAGAAGGGAAGGCCCGCGGTCGTTGGTTGGGGTCCCGTCTTTTTTTTTTGCGAATGGTTTTGAGGGAAGTCGAGGCTACGTTCTTCATGTGTCCTTGGTCCCTTGTGAGTTAGTTAAATAAAACACATACTAGGTGATTTAGAGGATACCGGATCCCCTTGCAAAGTGTTTGGATGCGTTAAGGAAGCCTGTTTTAATCGAAATGAAAGACCCCCATGGGTGGTCTTGGAATGCTCCCTCGTATCGCCTGCGAGTAAACTGGGGCATGCTGACATGCTCAGGGCTACTGCTGAGAGCCAGCAGGACAAAGCAACCGGCGAAAACACTTTTGCCCTACCAGGGTCGAGGAAAGGAAGCTTTTTTTAGAAGGGTCTCCGCACCTAGCCATCTTTAGTGGGGAAAATGGTTTTGAGGTTCAAGATCGGTTTTGTTCCTTTTGGTTTTCCTTCAAAACC